CTCGTCCTGATGTAATTTGCAAAGTGTTAGTATTTAACAATGTATCAAGCCATGGAGATAACACACACCTTGCCACAAATCGTGTAATTTCTTTGAATTATTTGTTAACTTAGTATTACGAGAAGTATTATATTCCGCAAAATAACGTATTACACATGTTCGAATTTTTACTCGTATTAAAAGAATACAGTGTCGCATTTTAATATTTCTTAATTACCAGTTTTAGTTTTATGTAAATAAAGAATCCAACTATGATCTAAATATTGATTAAGTTTGTGACTTTTCCACAGAATAGGAAAGTAAAAAGTGAACATTATATAAAAACATACATAAATACATTAAAAAATTTCATTTTATATATTTCCACTCTATCTGTAGAAAAAAAAATAACATGATCGGCCTTGAGTAAAATATCAAATTATTTCATTTTATAAAGTATTTTAGGTGTATCTATGGTAAGCAGCAGCCGAGCAACAGCAAATAGATAGTAGAGTTAAAAGGTATGCAAATTTTATTGAACATATGTATGAGAGAAGGGTAGAATAAATTATTAATCAAACGATTCTTATTTATTATTTCGTATAGAATATCATATCATAGATATGTTTTCTGTGGCTGAATTAGTAGTGAATACTTTTGGAACTTAAAGTGAGAAAGATGATTGTTTAATGTTTTTCAAAAGCGAGAAAAAAAGTTCTAGTGTAAGAACAGAAAAAACAAACTAATTATTAAATACAGTCTGTCTAGTAAGAGCGTGGCGGGCCTATCTAAAACAAATGGTTTATTAGCCTCAAATTAATATAATTGCATTTTGGCCATAATCCTACTGAATACAATCAATATAAATTTAAGGCTAATAAGCCATTTTTCTTTAAGATAGGCCTGCCACGCTCTTACTAGAAGACTGTATACTTAAAGTGATTAATGATTAAATAAAAAATGTTATAAGTAAGGAAATTGCGAAAAATGAATTTAAAATATTTATTTAATTTTATCAATTTTAATTCTAATCGTATCAATTATTAACGGTTCTGTAATTATAATTTTATAACTTTTTAGAAATTTACTTAAACATATTTATAAAAGTGTAAAAGTGAGACTCTTTACAAACAAAACAATTTGGAAAATAAAAGGGCTCAGGGTCAGTAAAGTACGATAATCTCAGAAATTTTAGAACATCTTTCTATAATTTTTGGAATAAATCTCTCAAGAGTGAAAATTGAGCCTTTTTCAAGACCAATTCAAAATTCATCCTTCGCAGAAAAATCACTCCAAAAAATGTACAGAACAGAATTTACATATACGTATATGAAAAATTTAAAAAAACGATGTACATACACTTTTTTTCTCGCAGTAATTCTAAAAATTGTTTTCAAAAATTTTCGTATAATAATTCTAAAAAAATGGTTTCATCTGACGCACCAAAGTTAATTACATATTCAAGTGTTTTACCTTTCATAAGATCAGCAGGGGTCGTCCGACGCTGACGAGATAATCCAGAAGCGAACAGGTGCGACAAGGCCAACAAGGTACATCTTCGAGCGCGGCGTCATAACCTTGCATCTCGCTGGCGGCGCATTTCGAAATTGTGCGCGGCCGCGAGCTGGTACGACGAACGAAGTCCACGATCGCGTTTACGGACGCAATATTCAACGCCACCCAGTCCAGGAATGTGAAATCGCGTGATTTCGACAACAGTGCAACACGCGCGCGCAAAAATCGCACTGAAAACCGTAAAAAAAACGAACGTCACCGCGGATGAACTGCCGGCCGGCACGCAATGGATTCGGTTCGTCGGCTGGGAGTCACGTGACACGTTCAAGATGCTCCCGCCGCTGATCACGTGATATTAGGAATTGAAACGTAGATCGAATTAGGCTGGCTTTCTCATCCCTTGACTTTTACATGATATCTGATTTCTACACGAAGAGATATTTGTGTGCACAACGTTTACCGCTGCAACGTTTTATTTTCGAAGTACGAATATTCACGTCGATAACGGAGACTATTTTGGTTGCCGCTAAAATTAACGGGCAACAAATATTCACCTCAATAATTTCGATTGCATCTATGACGTTAGAGCCGTTGTGAAACTATGGCTCTGGTTATTACGTTGCTTGTACTTTTGGAACATGCGCTTTTTCCTTTTACAACGGCTGAATATATATTTATTTTATTTTAAGTTCCAACACATTTTTTAGTGATTTTAAGCACCGCGAACAGATCTTATTTACGTATCCTTAAACGAGTGGCGGTCACGTGACTGCTTTATCCGGTATGGTATGCACATGTAGTATTCAAATCACGCGTGGAATCCGCGACGACGCAGTCGGGATGTATCGAGAGAAACAAACACGCGGCGCGCGTCTCAACAAACAACAGATCGGACACTTTTGGCGCCGGCGCGGCGCTTCGTCGCGTAAAACCTCGGATTAGGCTCGCGAACGAAATTAGTTCCTCCGCACGCATACGATCCCTATCGCCGCACTCGCGGTGAGCTTGAAAACGCGACATGCGGGACTGCGGCACGCGGCAGCACGCGCGCCCGCGCGATCGATAATACAGGTTGCCGCGCGGCGCGACGCGCCGCCGATCGCGTCCGGTTACGGCCGAGCGCGCACGAAGGAGGGAGGAGGAAGGGGTCGCGCACCTGTATATACACGTGACGGCGCGAAAAACGGCGTGGCTGTTTCCGAAAGTGAAACCGCAAGCGGAACGGCAAGTGCCTGATTTTCTTCAGCTGTGCGCGAGAACGCGACGACACCCCGTTCGAGACACTGTCAGCGGAAAACGCGTGACGCGACTGACTGCGAGTCCTGCCACCCTCGCCGATTCATCCCCGGCTTTTCTCCCCCCGTCCCCGCTATCTACTGACGCCCCCTTCGATTCATTTCGCCAACGTAGCCGACCCCATGCCGACGATTCGTATATGTATACACGCGCGCCCGGCGTCGTTACGCTCGCCGACGCGATGCTAATTAATGGACCCCTGGCGATGCGCTTTCTCTGTAATTGCGGAGATCCGGCACGCTGCGAGAGATATCGTAATGTGGAATCATTTAAATATATATTTGTTTGTATAATATAAACATATTAATATTATAAAAAATGTTTAAATATTTTTAATTTAATATTAATACTTAATGTTATTTTATAATTATAATCTAAAATTTGTACCCAATATGTATATACTCGAAACTCTTAAATTATAATTATACATTTACTCTACAATGTTACCTCTGTTTCTCTCTACATCATCTTTCTGCAATCAAAATACAACTTAATTTATCACGTTATTTATTAATACGATTATTGCAACTGTAGCATAACGTACGATATATTTTCTTAGAACAGCCGAAAATTTTGTTGCAGCATTCTGTTCAAAGTAAAACGCAATAAAATATTATGTCTATAAAATAAGTAGATAAAATCATTAAATTGGATACTTCGCTCATCTTTGATTTCATTTCTATTTTATTTTAAAATTCGTCTCTCTCTTATTTATTTAATTTATTTATTTATTTATGATTATTCAATTTTATATTTCTGCAAGTTACTTAAAAATTTACCCAACAAAACCACGCGAACCCAAAATTGTCGATTTCTTTCATTAACAATTTCAGTTCCTCTTTAGAAAAATAATTTGATTACATCATAGGAGTAGTCACATGCATTGCCAGATCAGGTCAGGTTAGGTTAACGCCCCGTCGTGCAGCGCGGCGATGCTGCCTACTACCAGAGAGAAACCTGAGAGAGGACATAACGACCTAAAACCTGTAACCACAAAATACTGCCGCGCACTACTGCCCACTGCAAAAGTGGATGTGAACTACATGCCAGATCCACTATTCTGAGGATAACGCATATACTTTTCAAGACTGATGGTAAGTAGATATTCGCGGTTCGTATAATCGTATTCGCGCTACATAAAATGTGGATCAGAATAAATATTCCTCCCTGCAACTACATATATGTATGCTTACTTCCATGCGCGTGATGTTTATTATTAAGCTTAAAAGTATTAACATTAAAGATATATATTACACCCATTTTTTTTACAAATATGTTAAAATATATCGCGCGTGTTTATATTTTAAATAAGTTATATATACATATATATGATCCCGGCAATTAATTCGCATTTAGAGATTTCAACATTACAGAGCTGCTTTGTGAAGTTGGCACCTTAAATGCGAATATTGGTAAAATCATTATTGCATTCGTTTGTCCACCGTTTGTCCACGTTTGTCCACCCATTATTTTCGTTTGTCCACCCTATGTTTATTATATTTTTCGTAATAGTGTAAAATAATCATTTGGGGGTTTTACAATTTTTTTTTTACATTACTTTTTTTTGGAGGGTGGACAAACGAAAATAATGGGTGGACAAACGTGGACAAACAGTGGACAAACGAATGCAATAATGATTTTACCAATATTCGCATTTAAGGTGCCAACTTCACAAAGCAGCTCTGTAATGTTGAAATCTCTAAATGCGAATTAATTGCCGGGATCATATATATGTATATATAACTTATTTAAAATATAAACACGCGCGATATATTTTAACATATTTGTAAAAAAAATGGGTGTAATATATATCTTTAATGTTAATACTTTTAAGCTTAATAATAAACATCACGCGCATGGAAGTAAGCATACATATATGTAGTTGCAGGGAGGAATATTTATTCTGATCCACATTTTATGTAGCGCGAATACGATTATACGAACCGCGAATATCTACTTACCATCAGTCTTGAAAAGTATATGCGTTATCCTCAGAATAGTGGATCTGGCATGTAGTTCACATCCACTTTTGCAGTGGGCAGTAGTGCGCGGCAGTATTTTGTGGTTACAGGTTTTAGGTCGTTATGTCCTCTCTCAGGTTTCTCTCTGCTACTACTGTCACTGCAAAGTGGAAATGGTGCGTTTAGGTTAGGGTTGCGTCGACATTGTCAACATATCAACGGGCCGGCACATGCCACGTCTTTGATACGACGCGTAGCGCGGTTGAAGAACGACAGGGGGACTATGACTATAATGTACACGCGTGACTGGCGTCAGGCGTTGCGCGCTCCGCACGTCTACCGGGTGGCGAACAGCACGTTTCGTATCCAGGGCACGTTCATGGCGCTGATTCTTCTGGTTTTGAGCGTGCCGACTTTCTTTCTCGTGTATCCGCTGTTGCACGGTTTCATGTGTTCGCCGCCAAGCCAGACCCTGGCTCAATGTCGTTACTACAAGTACAACCGAACGTATCCTACCTCGGCGCCCATTAAAACCTCCAAGGGCATTACCTACAGGATAGCGATAGTGAGCGACCTCGATCACGACTCTAAGCTCGCAGACAAGAGAGACACATGGCATAGTCTCATGAGAACCGGCAGTCTCTATTGGAATCCTAACAACAATTTTCTGTCCGTTATCTGGGATGACAAAAATGTTGTACTGTCCTCGTCGTTGTCTATGAAGGGACGCGGAATGGAGCTGTCGGAGTTAGTGACTTTTGACGGCCGTCTGCTGTCCTTCGATGATCGTACAGGAATGATATACTTTATTGAAGGCGATCAAGTCTATCCTTGGGTTATTTTAATGGATGGCAATGGTAAAAATCACAAGGGTAGGTTGCTTATTGTTAGTAAACTATTATTGAATTCGATCATTTATACTATACTGAATTAGTACACATTAGCTCGCTTTATATAAAAAAAAATGCAATGATATAACATAATCAACTTTTGTCTATTTCTACTTGCGTGAATTAACTATAATCTTGATTCAACTTATTCTTCAGCTTTTTCAATTTCTTAGAATTAGAAAAATATAGTTAAAGATGCGCAGTTTAAAAGACTAAATATGTAGTATATAAATTCTCTCTCATACGAAATTATAATAGCACCTATATATATAAGATCCAGCTCAACCGTTAAAGGCAATTTCTTATTGGTTGTGTTTCTCACATGTACGGTCTTATAAGATTTAATATTTAAATATAGTTAAAGAGAGAGAGAGAGAAGAGTTAGTTGAATCAAAATTAAAATTAAACTGCATTGGTAGAAATATACATACATTTGACAATGAAATAATATATGTATGTTCTATTAAATAATGTTACAATATCATTATTGGCAATTAATTTGTTTATAATATTTGTATACTGATATATTTAACTTTGTTAATTTTATGTATCAATCTAGTGAAATACAAAGTGATTGAATGTGTTATATGATTTAATATTGTTTCTGGCAATTGCAAGATGATAAATATAAATTAACAGTAACATGTCATTAATATATATTATAATTTTCTTCAACAATACATATGTAATATAAAATTATAATAATTACAATGTCGAGTAGGAAATTATGTGGTAGAAAATTATTACATTGATGTACTTTACTAAGGATGTTTTTCTTACTAAACTCTTATTTATATGTAGGCTTTAAATCTGAATGGGCGACTGTCAAAGATGAACAATTATATGTTGGCAGTATTGGAAAGGAATGGACCACTCCGTCCGGTGAATTTGAACATTATAATCCATTATGGGTTAAAGTAGTGTCACCACGTGGCGAAACGCATTCTATCAATTGGATTTCTTACTATAAACGATTAAGGCAAGCGCTTAACATCGAATTTCCAGGTATGCTGATACTTATAATTTGTGAATACACGAATTAAAATTTATTAGACATATACTTTGCATAGGTTACATGATACATGAATCTGGAACTTGGAGTGGTATACATAAGAGCTGGTTCTTTTTGCCTAGAAGATGTTCTCATGAACGTTACAATGAAACACGGGATGAAACAATGAGCTGCAATGTCATGTTGACCGCAGACGAAAACTTTGTTAATATTAAAGTGCGTTTTTAATTACATTAAATATTAGTATTTTGATAAATAGTAATAATTATATAAAATTTATTATAGGTTATCCATATCGGAGATCTAATTCCAATCAGAGGCTTTTCTAGTTTTAAGTTTCTTCCTGGATCGCAAGATTCTATCATAATAGCTTTAAAGACTGAGGAATATCAAGGACGGACTGCTACATATATCATGGCCTTTACGATAGAAGGACTGATAATAATGCCTGAAAATAAAATAATAGATAAAAAATTTGAAGGACTGGAATTTATATGACACTTAGGGGTAGTTGTCAATTATTTAATGAAAATTGTAAATAAATGTACAGAATATATAGTCCTAAGTTTCTACGAGATAAAATTATTGAAAAGTTAAAACCATTCTTTTAATTGATTATTTGGAATACTGTTACATTTGGAAGTACAAAGTAAATTTTATTCTCATTGATATGCCGAATAATAATTGTAAATACATGTATGTATGTACATACGCATGATTCTTCGTACTGATTCGAGCTGACATATAATTCTATTGTTTTTTTATTGTAAATATATAAATTTGCAATTGTGTTAAAAAATATAGAAATAAATTATACATATGAAATAAATTATACATATTATTGTATTTTTATCGTGTCATGTTAAAATGTTTTAATATTTATAAAGAAATTTTTTTAGAACTCAAATATTACAAGTACATAGCAAAATTGCATGAAAAGGTCATGATGTCTCGAATTTTTTATATTTTTACGTTCTTTGAACTTTTTACATTTGCATGCGATAAATTTTTTTGTTCTTATTGCATTTATCGCGCGCGCTCAGAGTTACAATATGCACTTCTATGCCAAAATCAATAACACAAGTATATCTCCAGTCTGGAAGTGGTGGCAGCAGCACTGCGTTTCTTCAGCAGAGTTTAGTCAACCCGATGCACAGCAAGGGTACGGTTCGCGGTTTGAGAATGTGCCGGGATTCGCGTGCATTTGTTACACAATGTTTGTTCACAGTCTTTCGAAAAGTGACATTACTCCGGTAGTATGTCAGTGCCGGATAATTATCGAATTTTTATGAGAAACGGAAGCGGCATCGAGATTTTGCATCGTTAGACAATCTTTCATGCAATCAACATTTGCATTTTACGTCCGGATAATACTCGCACAATAAAACTCGTTCTTATATTAAAAAAAAAACAGCGAATAATTCTGATTGTTTATTTCTCCGTAAAAAATAAATTTTAAAACAATTCAGAAAAAAAATTAATGCATTAATGAAATTGAATGATCATATATGACGACAAATCTTACATAACAACTGCATAAACGACGTGAATTGATTAATCAGATCGTATATCTGTATCTAATCGAGACAAGTTACATCATATGCGAAGGATAGATCCGTCCTAGTGGTCCAACCTGCTACGTTACACCGGAAAATCAAAATTCCGAGATATGCAAAATTAGATTTTAAAAAGATAAAACGATTTTAAATATACGTTAAAAATAGCTCCTTCCTGCTTTGCGGTTTATGCACGGAGAAAATGCGGTAAGAATGCATCGCATTTCGGTCAGTGACAGCAACAATGACCGCAACGCGGCACGCTCATGATGTAAATGTGCAGGATATATTCTGCGTGTCATATGTATGTACGTATATTTTTTCGATCGTTGAACTTGTCTTTTGAAACAGCAATAAATCAACAATCATCAGTATGTTCGCGCGAATAAGTGACCTTGATGTAAACTATCGACTGACAATCCCGTATTGTGGAAAGATGCTTTCCATTTGACGAACACGTAGCCGACAGTCTCGAGAGAAAGATTTTATTCGAATATAGCTTTTCGAAATTTTTTCACGGAGATAACATAGAACGATGGCGGAAGACGCGTTGAAGGACTGGAAAATTGCTAGGACCGGCATCTCTCTGTTGTTGAATAACAAAACTGAGGAAGCTGAAGCTCTGTTTATCGAGCACCCTCATAGCTTCCATGTCAAAGCCGGCCGTTGTTTTGTTCTCTTCATGGTACGTAATCGCGTGATGAGCCATATCGATTCCACTGCATTCTGACGAGGTACGCTTAACGTCTCAAGGCCGCGAAAGAATATTGTTACTTTAATCGGTTTTAATAATAAACCGCGAGCATACGTTCGTGCATCGAAAAGTATAAAATCGATATCAATTGATACCATCCCGGATCAGACGAATCAAATAAAAGTAACTTTACAATTCGGTTATGGTATAATAAAATCATGAGACAGCGAGCGCGCTTTGCTCTAGTAACAAATACAGAGTGCACATTCTTGAATATTTTAATGCCTAGTTGATAGTAATTTTTAATGTATTTGATGAATTGTGTAGAATGCTCTGATGACTTTCGAAGAGGACAAGTTTCAGCAAGCCACATTATTGCTTAAAGATATGGAACGAGAATGTGCGGGCGACATAGGATGGCTGAAGTCTGTAAAAAGTAAAGTGTTTAGAGCCGAAGAGACCGATGTAAGTGTTCTTACAGCAGAATTATTAATATAATATTTTATTGTTTATACCCGCTCGTCGTCAAAGTGTCCTCTTTCTATACATAATGTATATTAAATATTGTAACAAATATTAAAATGTGTTGCGAATCCGAAAATAATCGACGCGTGCTTATTTAAATATATTTAAAGTAAATTACATATAAAATTATTATTTCAACATCCTAACTTTGAACATAGTTCTTATTACTTAGTTTATTCATATAATGGTCTTGTTCTAACTTATTAAAATTTTATGCAATTCGGATCTTCTAATTTACATCTGGTCGTGTCAAAAATGATTTTTATAATAGTGCAAAATTTTTTATTGCACTAAATCAAAAAGTTTTGTCCTCTGGAGTCTTCTAACTATTTCTATTTGATATGATATATAAAATTAGAAAGATCAGCTTTGATTATTAACATTGATACAACGAATATCACGGATCATAAAATACTTACGTTAGTAAACTCACAAGACGATTGAATCAATAAAAAAAAAAGAAATAATTATTAAACTAATTTCAGAAGGACTACGTGAATAAATTAGAGCGTCAAATAGTTCTAGCGGATACGCAGGTATTCTCAGCTGTATCATTGTTTCTTCAACAAGAGTTAACTGGATACGTTCGTGGTTGCTGGATGCTTCGTAAAGCTTGGCGTGTTTATCAACACGCGTACAATCAGATCTCGCAATTGTATCGTCGCACTTTCGGTACAAATCCGACCGGTGCGTTACATTGATATGTAAAGTTAGAAAGAGATCAGAAAATTACCATTTCGTTCGTAGTAGCTTTATGGAAATGACAATATTTAATCACACATAACAGCTATAGTTTTATTAAGTGAAATCCAATGAATTAATAAGACTTCAATAAATAATTTGCGATTGTTTTTTTATTATCTTTATACATAATTAATGGATCACTTTTAACAGATACATATATTATAAAGATATTTAATTTTTTACAGGATTCAGCCCGTCTTGCATCAATCCGAGCAATGGATCCTCTCTGCAGAGTCCACAGAGTCCAGAATCTTCGGAATGGTCGATACCATCCTGCAACGGTTACACGAACAACGTGACACCAATGTCATCGCCATCAGGTCTGCGAAGCTCTCTATCAATGTTCTTCTCGCTCACTGGCATCACGTCTGAACAACAGACACCGTAATTGTTGTTTCTTCTTACTCAAGTCTTCTCATTTCTTTTCATTCTTTACCCATCATCCTCTCCTCTCACGAGAGAAAGGCATTACGTGTTGGCACTTATCGATACATTTCACGGAATGCTTGATTGAATTTCCGATCACGTCAAACACGATTTGTAATTATGCACCAATAAACTCACACACTGCTTATATAATGTTTGCTTCGCGAAAATAAAATTTACAATTTAGCTTGAATCACTTTGCTTTTCTTCCTCTTTCGCTCACACGGTCTATTCTCGCGCAGCTCGTGCTTAAAAATTTAATAATTAAGCAGAGTATATTTCGCAGTTTCGTGGAACCGGCTGAGGTGACACGTTTAATGTCGGCCGCAAGCTTCGGTTATGGTGTATACCAACTGTGCGTGAGTCTTTTGCCACCTTCTGTGCTGAAAGTGATCCACTTTTTCGGCTTTGAAGGTAACAGGCAGTCTGGTCTTACTGCCCTTATGTACGCACGACTTGGCGAAGATATGCGTGCACCGCTTGCTACGTGAGTGTGTTATGGATTTCGAATGTCTTCCCTTAAGTATATTCTTTTACAAACTGGGGAATAATAATTTATCATTTGCATAAAATATTTACTTTAAAAGCGTGGTACTGTACTCTTCATTGAATCTTATTTTCTATAATTGATCATATTTACTCTCCGTTATATTAATGTCCGCGTTTATTGTAGTCTGAGACATTTTCTATACTATTCGATTAGTCAATAAGCTATTATTTTCGTAGATTATCCCTCCTTTGGTATCATACAATTGTACGTCCGTTTTTCGCACTGGACGGATCCAATGTAAAAGCGGGGGTCGCAGCAGCGAAACAGCTGGTAGCTGAATGTCATGCCGAATTCCAGAATTCTGCCCTTTTTCTTTTTTTCACTGGCAGAATGGAACGTTTAGAGGTATTAATTAATAGATCAAACATTTGAGCACCAAACATTATTTTCTATAATTTCTTTTAATTTAGGCTGTATAAGTTAATTCTTATCCTTCTTTCAATATGCTTAAAAAATATCTTATTAAGATTTTCGTTTATAAACATCCAGTATACAGTATTCATAATCGATTTTTATATTTAAGACAATGTTAAAATCACGAACCAATCAAAACCGTATTAACATCTTAAGATATTATTTAAGTTGGTCTTAAAATAAGAATGGATTATAAATATCACACCTAAATGCGTGTAAATGTTTCATAAGTTGTTATCGTCTGGATGAATTCTCAATTTCATATATTTCGACTTTAATATAATATAGTATCCAATGTTGCATGATCCAATCGTTTCGCAGAGAAATGTTGATGCGGCTCTAGAAGCGTTCGGCAAAGCTGTGGAGGTTGCAACTCAGAGGGAAGTCAAACTGTTGTGTTTACACGAGGTGGCTTGGTGCCACGTGATACGCTTCAGCTACGATGAAGCGTATCGATCCTTACTGCAGTTGCAGCAGCAGTCGAGGTGGTCCAAGGGCTTCTACGCGTACTTAGCCATGGGTAACTTATCACCCTGATATCTAAATAGCAGATTAGATTTTTTTTATATTTAGATTATACCATGTTTACAGTTTGTTGTGGAGCGAACGGAAAGTTTGACGTTCTTCTGTCGCTGTACGGTAAGATTCTTCCTTGGTTCCATGAGACGAAAAACGAATCGCAACTCGATGTCTTCATCATGCGTAGGCTGCCGAAAATCGTTGATAAAGAAACCGGGCATCCTTACACAGTTTTGTATTATAAGTTGCTCGTATATGAAGCATTGTACTTGTGGAATGCCCTTCCGTCTTGTTCCACCGAATCGCTGCGAGAAATATCTTATGGTATATATACAATATATATATATATATATAATAATAGATTAATTTTTAATATCATTTGTTTTGTATTTTAAAATGTGTAAATGATAAAATTTGCAATTTGTTAGCATGGAAATTGATTTAGTCTGAAAAATTGAGATGCCATTTAAATATTTTATGATAACTTGTTAATCTTTCTACAAAAGATCGTTATTATCTTACTTATTATGTAACTTTATTATCAGAATGCAAGGAAAACCATTCCGAGGAACCAATGGTGGGTTTGACTGATCTTATTGAAGGTGCAGCATACCTTTATCTAGAGGACACCGAAGCGGCTATTAAAAGTTTTCGAAATTGTCTGAAATGTAGGTATCCGTCCAAGGACGAGTACGATCAGCATGTCAGCGCGTTTGCCTTGTACGAATTAGGAAGTAGCCTTAGTAACAATAACGTAAGTATACACATCGTCTATATTTTCGTTTATATATTCGTTATTTCTTACTTTATTGTTTCATATTTTAGAATCTTAATGAAGGCAAAAATTTCTTATCAAAAGCGCAAACTCAGTACAAAGATTACGACTTTGAAACTCGACTCAATTTACGTATACATGCCGCCCTGAAAAATGTATAGTGACATTAAGCGTCCGATATTACATCACACAATGTAACATAGTTTTAGTATCGAAGAAAAAACATAATATTTGGATACAAAAGTAACATTTTTATATATGTTACTATCATTCGTGATTTTGTTATTTTATTTAACAATAAGATCAACGAAAATTAGATTGGCGATTTGATCACCAAAGATATAACTTTATAGATCTTTTTTTTATACTATTTTATTAGTATTATGCTTTATGTATTGTGTATAACACACATTGTTGCAAATGTAATTCTACACACGTAATTTTGAAGATGTAAAATATTTTAAAGCAGGCGAACATTATGTCATATACAATTTTTATGTTATTTAAAGCGACAGATTTTATTCGCAAAAAATGTACTAAATTTTGCTGTAGATCATAGCAATTTATAGATTTATATGAAGAGAATTATGAGTGTTCTTCTACCTCGTCTAAAAAATATGTGCAATATCCGCCAATGGAATTGGATTACATGTTTTTGCATGATTATTCGAAAAAGTTGCTCGCTTGGAAAATTATATGTATGTCTACAATGCAATGTCTACATTTACCCTGTACATATCTTGTACACCTACAAATAAATTACATGAAAATAGAATAACAAAATATATTTGAATATTTCATTAAAATAGAATGAATCTTTTCTTTCAAAAAAACCAGAACTTTGATATTTATTTATCATTCTCATGTATATTACCTCCCTGTATACACAGTTTACGTGTTTTGAATCGTGATTCATCTTTTTTGCAATATATCGATTATGTAAATATACAGGCGATGCCGATTGTCAATGATCCAAGTTTTGATGTATACGCCTGGCAAAAACACGTACTATTACTCATAAAAAGAAACACTCATAAAAAGCATCACCAATATCTGACAAGTTTATTTCGTCGAATTAGCACGTTTTTTTAAAGTACATTTTTTCCAGTAGTCATAATTACGTAATGAAACGACGCCGATGAGCGCACGGAACGCTTTCTGTTGCGTTAACGCAGGGAATTGTCCGGGTATTCCAGCAAGTTGCAATCAACGATCCGCTTGGTATCATAAACTCATCAAACCTTTTGCTTTCTGCGTCATTACGTCAATGCTCGGTACAAAATCTCTTTAATAAATTAACTTTAAAAAATTTCAATTAACTCTCTTAATATCTCTAATGTGATCGATTTATAAAATCTGTATAAATTTAATTTATGTTATGGAATTCCGTTATTTTTAGCGATGTCCGTATCTCATCTCTGCGATAAATATTCTGCAAGTGCGTCGTTAAAAATGATTAAAGCAGACTTGGGAAATCTCAGATCTCATTTGGGTACTCTCTCGGTAACTGTTAGCTATGACAATATTTTTCCAAAGTAAACATTTTTTACTTTAATATTGTTGTTACACGATACAATTGACGTTTATATTATTGTTTCTGCAAAAAATGCATTAGCTAGAAGTGAAGAATGTAATGGAGATGCGCGATGAGCTGAAGAGTAAATTGAAGGAAGTAGGCAGCGTGATTCCAAAAATATCAGAAGCCATTCTCAACTTGAGGAATGAAGTTTCCGAGGGTAAGAAAGGTGCGATGTATAAATGTTGACCGGATGTTGCATCTGGTGCAGTGGCATTTTTCTGACGTCAAATATATCGACTAAATAAATAGAGCGATGTATTATGCTTATTTACATCGTAAGCGTTTATGAAACGTAATGAAAGCCATTCTCTTTGTATCATTCACGCGCGTCTAATTATATTTCATTATATTTTTATATTTTTATTTTTATTATTTTATATTTATATTTTTATCTTTCTATTCAACAAATGATTTTGTAAGTTTCTAACATTCCTCACAAGTACACGTTACAACAGAAATGAGTCTGCATACGAAGAATTTACTGAAGGTTTTGTCTCCGGAGACCGTTAGAAATATGGTGAAAAATGAATTACAGACGTATGATGCCGACAAAACTGGAAGAACGGATTACGCTCTTGAAAGTTCAGGTTCTATCCAATAATCTATTTTTACGTATCTTTTTTTTATACAGAACATGTTAATTAAAGGGCGCTCTGCTGCGACCTGCTAATAATTTCATGCGTAAGTAGGATACTTACACACAAAGGGACATGTGGCTTTTTTATATTCCTTTTTTTTAGTCTACTTAAGAATAACTAATTTTTGTAATTTTCCCCTAAAATTATTATACAATTCTATTAGTTATAAAGATATGCAATACATTTTTTTGCAATTGTAAAATTATCTTTTTTCTTATAAATAGTTGTTTCCTTGATAATTTTCATAAATATAGATGTTTCCTTGATCTATTTGGAATAAAAAAAGATTATAAGAAAGGGCATAATAATCTAAGTAAAGCCATAGTAATATCATAATGACGTCATCGTAAGTTCATTTATGAGTGACAAATAAAATAAAGTTATAATATATGACGTTGTATGGTCATTATGACTCTATGTTAATTCTACATAAGAATGTGCATTTTTGACGCATCGTCACATAATCCTTTATCCGCAGGCGGTGCGATCCTTTCGACACGAGACACCGAACCATACTCGACCGGTGCACCTGTGCTCAATCTATTCGGCATACCGCTTTGTCAACAGCAGAACACACCCCGGGCTGTAATACAGGTTACCTGACTATATTTAATATCACTGATATTCTGATCCCAAAGTATTTACCAGACCGGCGTTTTGCCGGGCGAATGCTGGGCCTTCAAGGGCAGTAGCGGCAGCGTGGTAATTCGATTACTCGGCTACGTGCACGTGTCCGGAGTTAGCCTTGAACACATCTCTTCATTGATATCCCCTACTGGGGAAACTGCTACGGCGCCGAAAGATTTTTCTATTTGGGTGAGCTGATTATGCAACTATACATGTAACATTATATGTATATTGCAATATTATGAACAAATACTTTATTAGTACCGTTATATGTATATAAACGTACAGCTATCGTATTTTAAACAGCTGCCTGTCGCATATTATATGTATTATAGGGTTTGTCAGATCCGGATGATAAGAAGCCTTTTTCATTTGGCAGTTTTACATACGACAATACTGGTTCGCCGTTGCAGTACTTCGAGGTCCAGGTAGTATACGAATAGACTTCTATATAATTAACATGTATTTTTGGAATTCTTAATTTTTAATTTTTGTACTCAATTACATGAGATGAAAAAATTGTTTATAGAATCGAGCAAAAAAGACGTATGATATAATTGAGATGAAAGTACATTCTAATAGTGGCAATCCAGAGTATACGTGTATCTACAGAATACGGGTGCACGGGACACTTAGTGAAACATAAATGTATCAAGTACATGAAGGTTATATTTTTTATAAAACATTATCGGTTTCTTACTTCAAAAGTAATATAAATAGAAAAAAAGTTTTCTTAGAATAAGAGAAAAACTACTTTCAACTTAACAGAAAATTATTTACCAATCAAATAATATCTATAAAAAAATATATTTTAACATGATCAAATGTCACCTTTGTCATTTTTATTTCACGATTCTTAAAAAATCACTCTTTCATAATTGTAACGATTTTGATGATTTTTAAAAAAAACTATATTCCTTTTAGAGTTATGATTTTTTAGAATACGATTTTGATAATTTTTTACGAAGTTAAGTAAGCTCATTTTTAATAAATGATAAGGTAATGTTTATCTATCTCGCTCATAATAATAACTCGAAAATTTCTTTTTTGAATTGTCATTTTTGAAGAGAGTGATATGTAACTTATAGCTTCATCAAATAAAATTCAGTAAAGGATACAACAATAAAATTTAACTCGATTGAATTTACAACAAATTTCATAATAATAATAAAAGTGGTAACTTTATAATAAATTATCATCGTAACTAACAGACTTTCGTTGATTGATTGGATGTGCCGAACCAAATTACGATTTGACATCAAGGAATGTTACCCACGCAATATTTAAATGCTGAATGTAAATCAGGACTGTGGGTGGTTACTCAATAAAAGCAATAGACCAGTTCAACGTAATCGTCGCACGATTTATTACATTTGTACATATTTAGTTTTTTCCCTCGAACTCTCCGCTACCTCGAACCTCCCCTCATGCGTTCTCCGTCGCACACGTACCCTACATTCTTATCGTATTCTCCGGCTCATGTGATGGAGCGAGGCCAAAGTTTCGCATCTCACCAGTCATTAAGCGCGTACACGCAGGATATCAGGCAGACAGGAAAAGACTCTCTCTGGCGGTTTTACACCGGCCGTTACACGCCTCATTACCGTAATTAAAATAGCACGTTATATATCTTGGGGGGGCCAGCCGCGGCCCAACCTTGGTTTCCCGCTTCTCTTCGTTATGTTTAGTTTAATAGTTTTATCATTTTTATTAATTCGACGATTACGCACTGCCTTCTCTACGGGCGAAGAACAGACTCAAGAGGCACGCTGCAAATTTTGATACGACATTCCTCTTTCCGTATCATGCGTAGGTACATACGCATGATCGTACAATTTTGTAACAACATTTTACTTTGTCTTCACCCTTTTGAACCGATGTGTTTCTATGTATTTTTTTTTTTTTAATACAGTACGCAACTGCCGGACTATCGATACGTGTGCAGCTGATCGGCGAACTCGCGCATGACCGTAATCGGCGCGTCTAGAGTAACTATAATTCGGAGGTCAGTCGTCTAACGCTATCGAGCTATCGAGAGCCGGTCGTGGTGCCGAAGAAACGCGAGTACATGTACGTAAGCGCATGAATACGAGATTATCTATGTACTTTTCTTAAAATAAAGCCGGATCTAGACCAAGTAAACAAACTCAAATGAACAACTTGCTTCAAATGCAAATCATCGTTCATTTGCGTTTGTTCATACTCATTTGATTGATCTGGATTCAACTCAATATGATCTGACAGCAATTCGGAATCGTTCGTTGCTTTCTGTCTATTTTTGCTATATTTATTTTGTGCTACATTGTTTCCAATTGAGATTTATCACCAGAATGGCAAAGACATTTTTTTTCACACGAATTACTATACAATATTCTTTTTAAATCTTACAAAGTTTGTGATCTTGTAAAAGTTTCAAGTCTTACTTTCTCTTAATAACATGATGTATAACAGTAATTTCCAACATCTCGATTTGTGAAAGTCAATCTCTTTAGAAATAATTAAGTATAGAAAATGTAGTATGCGATTCACAGCTTCGAGAGGCACGCTGCGAATTTCGATCACGCGTGCACACAATCGTGCACTATAAAATATCATTGATAGTATTTAAGCAAAGAGACATAACAGCGTACGTTATTTTTTCTAGAGTGCAAATTCTCAGCCATTCTGGTGTTAAGCGCAAACTCCATGGAACCACTACGCACCAAAGTGTTTCCACCGAAGTCCTCAATGATGAAGTAAAACTGTTCTGATTAGTATTGGATTAGGAATTCCACTTAAGCTCAATGCAAAAACGCAGCTCGACTCGAGATTTTGTTAGGCTTTTTAAATGAAATGTAGTATCGACCATGCGATCGATCGGTCGACAATTACCACTAATTTTTTTCAAGCAATGCGACGCACCCGGCGCGTTTGAATATAATTTTAGCGACTACACCTTCGACCTGACAAAAGGGTGGTTGAAGTCGTCGGTCGCCCATTTGCAGCTGAAAAGAAAAGAACGCGGGCACCACCACCGCACGAAGGTTCGTCAACGCTCGTAAAAGGCATAGAGTTATTTATTCTTATTTCTTTTTTTTTTTGTTAGATTTACTTCGACAATCGTTAAATATATTACCGCACGCGGTAGTATCAAAATAAACCACACCAAGTGTAGAGTATAGAATATTCGTAGGTGTATGTATGTACAGTATAGAGTTCCTATTTATCTCTGTTTTGTCTCTCTATTTTTACGCCCCACGAAAGCCACTGAAACATTGGTTTTCGTTTTATTAAAAAGTCAGCTATCATCCTTAAATTGTTGCTGTTCCTTGCTGCTGCTGTTGTTGCTGCTGTTACTGATGTTACGATTTCATTCTGATATTTGCTGTTACCGTTAGGAAATACACTACGATTAAAGTATATCACAGATGTCAACGAGAAGAACGCTCTAATGTGTGAAAAGAGTGAAGTGAAGTGAACGAAACGAAGATAAATCACGATTCTCGAACGCCGATTGTCCAATAATCGTCACAATTGATCGATCTTTGAGTCTGGTTTAAAAAATTAATTATGAAAATCACAACCTCTTTGTTATTATTTCTGTACTCTCGTACAAGACTGATTTAACAATTATTATATTTTTTTAAACTAGAAATAAAGTTGAATTTATATGAATCTGAGATTATTCTAGTACATTATTCTAGTTAAAAGATCAGGCACATGTATATATAATATAATCGCAAAAAAATTACATCGGTCCAATTTTGCCTATTAATAATCATTTCCATTATAATCGATCCAATTACTAGAACACAATCCACATCGATCGATTGTAGACATCTTTGATTTCCAATCGGCGAACCCCGCGTAATTTTCAAGAGTTAGAGAATAAGGAAAGGCGAGACAGTGTGGTCCAATTAATTGCAGTTTTGTCGCGTAGATTCGACATAAGATCTAGTTATAAACTACTAAAATTCTCTCTCTCTCTCTCTCTTTCTAATTTTTATCGACGCGATCTACGTCGTTCTTCTTTCTACCAATTCCTACGAATCGACTTCCATCGACGTTTCGGAAACGGAACAACGAAATTAGTTCCGTTGGCAATAAGAGATTGTCATAGGTTTTCAAGTTATATTATACGCGCACGTCGCGCTTTGTGTAGCTGTTTTGGGCTACACAGTAGATTTCCCTAATTATATCATGCCGTCCGCGCGATTGTATCTCCTTTACATGATGCGCAGAATATGTTTTTCGTACTCCCTCTCTCTCTCTCTCTCTCTCTCTCTCTCACTCTTTCTCCCAAAAAGTTCAACCTCTCTCTAAATGCTCGACTTGTTCGTTTTGGCAAGTTCACGGCGGCGAAGTGACTATAATATAACGACTATATTGTCATGCACTACAGTCTTTCTTAGAGCCCTTTCTTAAATCCCTCCCGCGATCTTTCACCATAATGTGTTTCCGCCGTGCAGTGTATACCATGTGTATAATACAATATGTGTACCATGTTTCATCCCTTGGAAACATTTCGTACGTACAACTAGAGACTATATTGGCTCGCTCGCCCTGGATTAAGAGGGCGGATCCAACGATCCGCCAGTGGAGGACGGTCTCTCGGGTATCTCCTTGCTTTCGTCCGTGTCGCCACTGCCTCTACCATTTCTCATCGTCGTAGTAGAGGAGATGGTAGTCGAGACGTCCTGGATTTCGTCGTCGCGCAATCTGCCGCCGCGCCGTTGCCCGTTGCTGCTGCTTGCCGAGTCTGTGTCGTCCACGTATATTCTCACGTCAGATCCGATGGCGCCGCCCTCACCGATATGCACTCCACCGTCGTTCCCACTGCCGTTGCCGCTTCGGCTGCCGCTACCGTTGCCACTACCATTGCTGATGCTACCAGCCGCGCCAGCACTCACGGCGACGCTGATGCTGGCGACGGCGCTGAGACTGCCAGCGACGCTCAGGCTACCGGTACCGGTACTTTCACTCGCGTTGCCACATGGCGAAGGGATTTCATCGGATCTCTCCTCGGTAGTGACATAGATATGGCTGTAACCCTCACCGCGGATCATCGCGCTGTATTGATCGCTGGCGATGCTGGTAGTGGTGGACGCGCCAGCATCATGCGTTTTCAACTTGGACGGTCTCCTCTCGTTGATAACAGACTGCACATCAAGGTCTTCTTGGGGCGGCGTCGGTACCGTCGTTGTCGTCGGGCGTCTTCTCTCTTCTGTCATCTTCTTCTTTGGTTCCTCCAGTCGAGCTTTGCCACCGACATAGCCATTTGCGATGCTGGGCGTTCGTGTACTGCTAGTACCGGCGCTTGCACTCGTCGTATCTGATGGCGTCGGTGATTGCGTGTCGCTCGATGTCCGGCGGCTCATTGTCGCCTTGGACGGGTAGATCTCGGCGGTTGGCATCAGGTAACGATCGCTGGTCAATTTCGGCGGAACGCTCAGAGTGCTGCTCGAACCAGGGGAAGTGACCAATGAGGGGCTGATCGGCGGCTTGCTTACGGTTAACAGAGATTTATTTTCACGCGCTTCACTGGTAGTCACCTGCAAAATTGATGTTAATTATATCTCGATATTTCATTAATCCTGGATGATAATTTTTGTTAAACATTAGGAAAACTTTTTTTTTACTAATATAAAGAGGAAATGAGAATTTGTTTTACAATAGTAATTCAAATACGAATGAGACTTTATTTATGATTTAACGTTGCACTTTAAAAAATATTGATATGGATTTTTTAACACCATGATGGTGTTTTTGAATCTATATATATCACTTTATGATGTTACTGTAAAAGGATCATAAATCTATGTCATACACGTATATGTTGACATTAATATTAACCAACAGTGAGAATTATGACTACGTTCCATTATTCACTGCGAGCACCAAAACTTTATAACTCACAATGTGTATACTGTATATTTTCAGTACTCAGAGTCAAAACTCAAAGTAGTTTATATAAATATCGCCTGGTGTTAAATCCATACCGATATTTTAGGGCGTCATAGACGCGTCATGTATTCACGCTAATTGTGAATGACAGGTGAGAGTGCTCCACGCCCTACAGAGTTGCAACTTCGTAGCAGTTGTTTCTGTAGTTGTTATTGCAATGTTCAAACAAATATGGTTGAGTATTTGTACCTTCGATTGCATATTATACTCTTGATGCTATAAACTTGAACAATGCCACTGCACTCACAATCAGTATTATTTGTTTGCACGTTGCAATAATGACGACAAAAACAACCGTTGCGAAGCTATAATTATGCAGGACGCGAGCAGACATCATTTACATGTGTAAATATGTCTCTCAATTTGTATTCATACAAAATTGATTGTTATCATATTATTGATTTGTATTCATATACGAAAAAATCATATTTGGACCACTCCAGTGTTACATTATTTCTTTGTTGTAGATAGATAATAAAGGCAAATAATAAAAAATCTGACTCGTTAAATGAGTAAATAATATACTTTGATTTTTATTTATAATAATTTATATTATAATTGATGTATGCTATTTTTTATTCAAAATCTGAAATATGAATCCTTACCGGCAATTTCTGACGTTGTATTCGACTGACGTCTTGACTAGTTGTGGCGTAACTGCGATGTGGAATAATTCGAGGTACGCTCAGATTACTCACAGGTTTCTCAAAAACTTCGGCGACCTCAAAGTGCATTGGCAGCAGTGACCTTCGTTGATGATGGCTCGAATGGAAGGTTTGCCTGCGTTTTGACTTAAACTTGGACGGTCTTGAACTGGAACTACGACGTTTCTCGTCCAAGGATACGGAAATCGAGGCATCTAAAAAATACATAAGACAGTTCTCTCTCTCTCTCTCCTTTCTGTAAATAGTTAATAACTCCCTCTTATTCCGATAGGAAAAGATTTATAAAATTGTATGACAAAATCTGCAATTGTACAGGATGTATTACAAAAACAGACGTAGAAATGTTGCAACATAAAATTATATATTCAGCATGACAAAATTTTAAGAAAAAAATTAAACTTTAGTTTTTTGAAATAATTGTAAAAAAAAAACATTTATATCTCAAATTGAATTCATCTAATTTTATACAAATATTCGATCATCTTAGGGCAATTATTATTAAATTGTTGTCAACTTATGATTTCATTACAGTGCAATACTTTTAATTTATTCAAGATAATGCTCTCACCATCGACGTTTCTCTCCCTCGGTGGATTGTAAATAAAATTTGCAGGTAAAGACCGAACTTTAGCTAATCCTGGTCTTACGTGTATTTTATCGTTTACCACCATCGACTCGCGTTCTTTATAATCTTCATCGTCATCTTCATCGCCATTTATTCTGCCATTCATCACCATGTCGTCCTCATCTTCTTCGTCGAGAAGTTCTTCCTGCTCCGCCGCTAATTCTCTCTCCAATTGTGTCTCCATATCGAGCTCGTCCTCCATCTGAAATTAAAATATCACACACGTACCCTTGTAATCGAAATAAAGTCGAATCTAACATATAAAATTATCTGAAAACGTCACCTGTTTGTGACTTTCTTCCAGATGTTTCATCAGCACAGCGACGACGACGTTTACCAGTACAAATTGTGCCATCAAAACAAAAATTACAAAAAATATTGGTGCGATGATACTGCTCACACAACAATTTTTAACACAGTCCGCCGCATCATCGCAATCGTCCCTTAGCGTGTCCTTCATGATTCCATTCCAATTGTCACCAGTGGCGACCCGGAAAAGCGTCAAAAAGGCCATGCCAAAGTTACTAAAGTGCGCGTGCTCGCCAAGACCTTGGCAAGGCATATCATCATTGCATTCTGCGGTGAAAAATTAATATTGTTCAACAGCTGCGTTCGATTTGGGCGATTACGCGCTATAAGCTTCATTCTTCTTCTTTTTGCATGTGATAAATGATAGAATAAAGCATACAGCGCGTGTGATGCGTCTAAATCGAGCGCAGGCAAATAAAAAATTTTAACTATTTTTATGGTCACCTAAGAACTAATTAAATTCGTATCATAATATCAATTACCTAGTCGACCAAAAAGTTCCACCCCTAGCGCAGCAAATATAAAGAAAAGTAAAAAAAATAATAGTCCCAGATTTCCGACTTGCGGTAACGCTTGCATCACCGTGTCCAAGAGGGCACGTATGCCCTTCGCCATTTTCAAGAGCTTTAACACCCGGGCTATTCGCAACACCCGCATTACGCGAATTATCGTGGGATTAATGGGGATAATCTTAGATTCGACCTCTTCTAACACGATGCCGACCACTGATAGTATTACTATTCCCACGTCCAATTGGTTCCACCTTCAAGAAGAACGCCATTAGGACTTTTTTTTATGGACTATGGATCTACTTATTTTACAACCAACGGCGTGATTCTTGATAAAAACGTGTTAATAAAAATACTGAAAAGAAAAAATAGGCTGTTTACTTGTCCTTTAGATAAAGCTGTATGCCGAGGGCGACAAGTTTCATTATGGATTCGAGAATGAAAACTGCAGTGAAGAAATAATTAAAGATCTTCAGTGCATAAGTGAGCGCTTTCGGCATCATGTAAAACTCCATCGCCATCGTAACGACATTGAGACCGATAACGGCAGCGATCGCCAGATCGAAGTACTTGGATGTTACAACATTGTGGACGAATAACCGTGCCTTAGAATAACGGGTGTAATACGGCGGCTCGTGCATCTCTGAAAATTATCGTTATTGCATACACATCGGTGTCTTTCGACCCGTCATCTGCTTGGCGTGATGTAGAAGTGGCATTAACCTAGTTGACCGAGCGGCCACTCACTTCGTCTCTTTTTCTCCATTTGCAACGCGCGTTTAGCCGCCCTTCGCACGCGCTCTTCTTTCTCCTGTTCTTCACGACATCTATGAAAATTTTCGACCACCACTCCGACGAACATGTTCAGCACGAAGAAACCCACCAGCAATATGAACGCGATGAAATACAATAATCGCCACTCAGAGTAATTTTCGATAGGCTGTAATCATTTTGTTGGAAATGACATGAGTACTTGGGGAGATTCAGCGTATTAGAAATATAAAAATTATATAAATACTATTTTGAACACACTTCGAAAACTATCATGCTGTAAATTACGTATAAAACATCTGCTTATCTAAATTAGCATTTGTGGAAAAATTTCTTTGCGATCAATTGACGGGAAAATATTGGCGGAGGAAAAAATATTTACTCTCATTCGCTGTAATTTTCTTACCTGTTGATCGACCCCGACAGCGTCTAGACCAGTATACATGATGTTTACCCATCCATCTCGTGACGATAAAACGAACAATGACATAAGCGCTTTACCGAGATCGTCGAAATTGTACTTTCTGTTCAGCCACAGATTTCGCTTATCGGACAGACAGTCCGTTTTATTGCGTACATTCTTTATATCGGGGCCTTCGCAATAATAGAACGCACCCTTAAACAACTGAACCCCGAGAATACCAAAGATGACAAAAAACGTGCAGCAAATAAGAACGATGTTGCCGATGGGTCGTAATGAAGACAGCAATGTCTGGACAACCAGCTTTAAACCAGGTGCACGATTGATGACACGCAAAGGTCTCAGTGATCTCAGTAGTCTAAATACCTATGTTTTTTTTCACAGAGATAATCGATTAGAGAAAATATATAATATTAGAATTAAATTTACTGTATTTACATGTTTATTATAATTTAGTCCCAAGATTAAATATGTATTATCAAACAATGTTAAACTTTAAATATTTTAAACAGTTTAATCAGAATTGTGCTATTATTGGATAGGTTAAAAAAACACAAGATACTTATTAATAAGAATAATAATCTTACCCTTAAAATGCCAAATATTCTGGGGCTACTAGACGAGAGTAACGACATCGATAAATCAATTATAGAAATGATAACAAGAGATCCGTCCATAATATTCCAACCTGATGTAAAATAAGCGTCTGCGCCATATAACATACTCGTTGCAACGACCTACAGAACGTTAAAATGTAAATTATGAGCGATTTTTTATAAATTATATTATAATAATTTCTCTCGTTTATCGTTTTTCTGCAGTTATCGTGAAACAATAAAAGTTTTACTCATCAGTTTTGTTCAAAATTATTAAATGTTTTTGTGAGAAAATTTTTTAAACATTATATTGATATGTATACCTTAATGAACATCTCGATGGCAAAAACAGCAGTAAAAATGTAATTCGCGGTAGATAGAAAAATTCTCTCACGACTGTCTGGCGGTATATTCGGTCGTTCCATCGCTAGAGTAATGCAATTTAATCCAATAAATAGCAATACCACATTGTCGAACCATTTTTGATCCACGAGCCATTGACACAAGATGCGAAATCTGCAGAGAAAATTGTGAATTGTACATCATACACTCTTTAATTATAATAACGTTATATTAATAATAACGTTATATGATAAACTTTCTCTCTACATTTTTTTTCTAGTGGTTAATTTACTGTATATCCTTATATCTTTATTATTATCTCCCTAGCATTTTTTTTCAGTTTGTAGTAAAACTTCAAATGCTAATCAAGCAACATTACTCCTATCTATAATATTACCTGTTATTCGGTGGGAATAAATATAAGGAATAATTGTCGCGTTCCTGCAAGCAGCCTTTAGGTTCAAAAAACATGAATATTTTTTTTATTCTTTCGATACTGCTTGCGCTACCATGACCATTCGATGGCGGGGTTTGCTCGCCACCTGCTCTCGGACGTTCCTCTTCTTGTTCACGGAGTCGTTTGATTCTTGGCAGCGGACCAGTCTCCATCGAGAGATTATTGATCGTGCGTGGGGTCGAGGACGGTGCGAGCATTTCATCCAATGGTAGCGTTTTCCTCGTGGACGTCTGAACATTCTCGTATCCGCGCAGTGAATTTCTCCGTGAAAGCTCACCGATCCATCGCATCTGTAAATCACATATCAATAATTGTACGTATTCTATAAAAATTGACGGAATTCTTAATCAACTTTTCTATTTCGACAGTTTAAAACAAAGATCTTGATGTATATGTAAAGTATAATGTTTATTTAATTATATATAAAAAGAACTTTATGAAGCAGTTTTGCTGAAGTATCTAAAATTTAGCTACAAATCTAAAAATAATTTTATTAGACCATCAAAATAATTATGTAGGAATCTTGAGAAACGTGATGAACAACACGCTACAAAAAGTTTTTATAATATATTCTAGCAACCAGTACGGATGTTCTATATAATTCTTTTGATAGTATACCTAACAAAATTATTTTCAAATCTGTACCTATATAATTACATTTTTAGATGTTTTAGCAAAATCGTCCTTTCTGCAGCATATACATATATATGTTGCTTTATTATTATATTATTTTAAACAGCACTTTTTAATGTTAACAATAAATATTCTCAACGGGCAACACGCAATATAAAATCAACACAATAATAAAGTATAATAACAATTTATAATCTAAGAAATGTCAACAAAGAATAAAAATATTGTGTCGCATAATTTACCTGATTAGGCGTAACTGTGTATCGACGAATCGACCATGGAGCATGGCTTTCGAGCGAATTATTAGGACTCAAACTACGATTATTGCTTGTCAGGACGGTAGTTCGATTATTGGGCGCATCGCGTTGAGTATCGTTTCTTATCGAACCGTGTAAATAACCGCCATTAAATCTGAAAGAAATTTGTTAATATCACAATTATTATATCGTGATATTTATTTAATTATTTCTATATTAATTTAATGTATATAAAATAATTAACAGCAACAAATATTGCATGTTATAATACAATGCTGCAAATCCGTTTGCTTAGTATATTCTAAACGTCGATAATTAATTAATTAATTATTCGTGCTTTTCGAGAATAATTTGGGATAATATTTTTACAACGTACGTTAAATTGGATCCAACGAGAGTACTGCGCCCATTGTTTAGTACAGTAGTATGGCCGGTGTGCTCATCATCACTTTGCGACCATCGTTTCCTTCCCAAAGATGGCCGCGACAAGCGCCACGAGTATCCTCTTTGAACCCTCGGCGGACTGAAATGGAAAGAAGTGGTATCAGAAAAAAAGAAGGGCATTTAATGTAACGGAGAAAACGTAGATACCTAGAACTCGAGTCCCTCGTCGAGGGATTAACAACGGCCGTAACGAGGCTTATGCGTCTCGGGAATTGACCAGCTATTAAGTTATTCGTCGGTATTTTGTTGGATACGTCGGGTAGCTTTAGCAATCCCGAGGGTATACTGCACTGACTCTGTCAAATACAAAGCACTCGTCATTATCATATTTTCGCGCAATGTACCTTAATTTGCAATTCCTATAAAATACAGTAGGTATAATCTTTGAATTCAAAATTGTATAAGAATTGTTTGCGATATTAACTGATCTAAAACTTGATGTAAAAAACGATTTTTACAAGTACAGGAACGAATGTATTATTATATATATCAATCTCGCACAGCAAAAACTTCTGTCTACGTCGTATAAAAATGAGGTTTTTTTTAATGAAAATGAAATAACATACACCAGATCGATCGATGGACTCGATTGAAAGAGCAGCAGCCGGATAAACTGCTCGACAATTGAGATCTCTGTAGCCGACGTCTAACGTGGTGTTCGGGGAGTCTTGAGGAGTGGCTGCTGTATGAGTAATTATCGGCGGCTGACCCGCCACACCCATCATCTTACTCTCTTTCTGGATATTACACTTAGGTTCATCGATCCGCTGCTTCCACACGCTGTTCTGCTTCTCCCGGTTGTCCTTGTACTTCCTAAGTTCTTCTGCACTTTGCCACGAATTCTTTTGATCCTACAAGTCGCAGGGAAATTTGATGATTGATACATTTAGATAAATCAATAAAATAAATTATGTTAATCTCGTTCGTAATAATTATATTCGTACTCTTCTCTATCAATTAATATAATAAATAATATATTACATATGTAACTCGAAAATTACATTTTTTGCATATTTAATTCATGGCTTGAATATTTTAGAATTTTTAGATATTTTACGAATCTTTATAAAGCGTTACGCTGATCCTTTTCTGCAAAATTTTTGAAAGAATATTTTAAAATAGAGGCGATGTTCGCGCTTGCAATCAATCTTCTCCACATAAAATGAGGAATAAACGAGCATAGGATTCTGGATTTATTTATTTGGAGAGACTGCGAGTAACTACCTGGGTATATGTATCGCTGTCAGAGATCGAATGTGATCCCGATATTCTCGACGATCCGTCCTCGCTGCCCATTCCAGCCTCTTTTGCGGCGAGCCTTTTCGCCAATTCTCTTTGCTCTCGTTCTCTCCTTTCGTTTCTCTACAAAGTACGCTATCAGTTACATACTCTTCATATAGACGTATGATCATATATACATACACACACACACACACACACACACACACATATATACATATATATAATTATAAATTACATTTTCATAGATATATATAGATATGTATATTTAATTCGGAAATAATCATCTGATTTTTTTTTACGTAAACGATCACTTGGCGTATTTTTATACCTCAATTAAAATAATAATTGTTATTAACAATGTCGTATAATACTGATTATTTTCCGATTTATTAATATTTTAAATTAATCATTATGGATATGAATTAATCAATATTAAAAGAAAAAACTAAACAGAAATTAAATAAATATTAAACGAAATAAGCATATTTTTAATGGAATTGCATATTTAAAGGTTTGTAAAGTATTAGTTATTGAAAAAGAAAATATATTAAACGATATATATATCCAAAACAATATTTTACAACAATTAACATTTTTTTGTCCCTTTGGGATATAAAAACACCACACCTGACTATTTCCAGATTAAGACAAATTTCTCTGTAATATAAAACAGCCATTTATAGATTAAATTTTTAGTATAGATTGGAAGATTTAAATAAATATTATAATACATATTTATTTTATATTTTTATGTTCTACATTACATATTGTCTTTTACATTACATACCAAATATCATATTGAATAAGAAGAACGGCGTATTATTTTCTAATCCTTACCTCCGACGAGAAACCTTCAACAAGAATAGCGACTAGGAGATTAAAGAGGACGTAGTTGCCGAAAGTCATCAATGCTACGAAATAAAGCGCAGCCCAATGAGACGTCTTCTGCATACCGTTGAAGAGAACGACATTCCAATCTTCCTGTGTGAGAATCTACATAAAAAGAAGAATGGGAAGAGACTTCCGCTGCATATAAATGAAATAGATGTCTACATTTATTTATTAAGGCACGTGATCGGCAAGACGTTCTTTCTCTCGAAGCGTGCCAAAAATTTATATAGTAGTGTAAAACATGTTCGCGCATAGATAAAGAAAAATATATATCATTTGTTAAAATTCAAATCGTATGTGTGTATGTGCGTGCGTGCGTGTGTCTTTGTATGGTTTGTACGCACGCGCGCGCATCTGTGTGTTGCAAGCTATAATGAATACGATTAAATAATTGAAATTATTGGACAAATATAATGAAGTTTCAGTAAAATTAGTAATTATAACAATGTTATGATACTATTATGCATTAAATGTGTATATCAATATTTCAAGATTCTATTATATCTATTGACTTAATTGTTAGCATATTAATACATTGGTGTTAACAATTTTAATTACAGTATTTCAACTATTGAATTATACATCATGTTAAATATAGTTATTTATGTTTATATGAAATTAAACGCTGAAAATGGAAGTATGTTAAATAATAAAATAACTCTTGAACTAAAATTTACATTAACTAGATTTCGAAGTAAACAACTTACTTTTACAGAATATTTTTCAAGTTACTTTTTGTATTAAAATCATTTAGATACAAGCAATCACGAGAGAGATTGACGTACAAAACAAGTCGACGTTGCGTTCAAATACTCGATAGAGATGTACGAAACGTTTTGCCAATCAGTGCCGCAATACTTTGTAAAAATGCATGCGTCATGTTTTCTATCAGGAATTTCTCTTTGCGAGAGCTTTCGTGTTCTATCCACGTATTTGTCTATCTAACTTTATCAGCTCTTCAGTCTATCTTCTACTTCTCCTTCTAGCCTGATAACGTTACACGCTGTTTAAAAAATTTTTTAATCAACATTCAAAAGGAATTAATTCAATGTACCGAATAAACGGTTATACATATAGTATCGAGCGTTAGAGTAGGATTGTTGTTTACATGCGCAAAAAATTATCGTAGTAATTGTTAATAGTATTTCATTAAATTCGAATTTAAACAGTTTTCGTGTGTACACTGACAAAAATGAGATTTAACGATACAAACAAATAGAAAAAGCAACATATATTTATTATTTAATTTATTAACATTTATGTGAACATTTATTCTTTTTAAATTATAATACGAATATTATCTATTATCGCGCGAATAAAAGCATATATACCATTAATACATAATAATTATTAATTGTACAGTGACAAATTTAGAAAGTTATCGATATGCGCCATCAGACTGCATCGTAGAATACAGATGTAAACGGAAACACGTGATAGAAAGGCAGAAACTCGAGCGGCTTCTGCAGCACATTAGTTGCTTTACATGGATGAGGCGTGTGCTGAATCGAGATCACAACACACACTCGTGGGTAAAGTCGTCGTCGCGCAGTTTGATCTGCGCGAGTAAACGAAATGGTGAACGTCGACATGTATACGTATATACCGATTGCACGCATGTAAATACAAAGCAATCATTAAGGCTCTGTCACTCGGCACTGATAACAAAGAAAGAAGAATGGACGAAGCGTGGGCGGGCTTAAGGGAACAGTGGGATCAGATGTCTGAGTCCGTTTGCTTAACACGAAGAAAAATATATGTATATATACATATATATATACGATCCGGCGATCTGTACAGACAGAGAAAATGTGGACACGAATGTAGGTATAGGAGAAAAAAGACCGTGAACAATTGGCTACGAATATATACGTGTATGTCGCTTTAAACATATAAAAAATTCGTTATGATATAGTGTTAAGAGAGGGAGGAACAGTGGTACCTGAAAAACAGTGACTAGTGCCCAGACGATGTCGTTGAAATGTTTGCGATCACAGCGACACAATGGGTGCCGTGAGACCACCTCGGCACAGGTGCAGGGCCGACTCCGGTCCGCCCACATGCAAAACTTACCCCCGAACAGGTACATCCCTAGGATGCTGCAACCGAGACAATCCGCTGGCCTAAAGTATCCCCGCGATAGAGATAAACAGTAGGGTGAGAGGTGGGACCAAGTGGTTGATGGAAATGGGACAGTACGATGGCCATTCAGTGGCTCCGTTCTCACTATATTACTATATATATTATATATAGCGACTTTGTTATTTAAGTAATTAATTAATGCAGGCGGTAAATATTGATTAACTTTATCCGGTATATTTATCGTAATAATCACTACTACGTGAGTGACATTTGGTCATGAACATTAATGTCATTAATGTCAATCATTAGCATTTTTGCATCAATTGGCAAGTGACTATGACAAAGTTGCTAATCTATGAAACATATATTCAGATAATCGTATAATAGCTTGACTTTTAGCTGGCTCAGTGAAGCGTCATACTGCACAATAAAAATAATATTGTTAAGAAATTGTTTTTATCCATTTCAATAATCTATAGTTCGTTTATTTTTGTGCTTAAGTGCTCAAAGTAACAATCTAGGTTTAAAGCTCATATTTTAAAAATATTTCCACAAAGAGAAACGTCTATTTTTAACTTTTATGTATTGTATACGTATGTATGTGTGTACGATAGATTTTTTCGATTTTTCCATTCATCGTGCCAATACATATATATTACAGATATATTACAGATATAAATATCTGTCTTTAACGTTTTTATATCTTACGCTAAATCATAGCGTTTTTCAGTAATATTAAATCAAATAATTATACATTAATATTCAAATAATTAAAATTATCACAAAAATGCGTTTTTTCTCAAATTAGAAATTTACTATTTAATAATTTGTAATTTTGAAGAATTTAAATAATTCTCGAAATTTTTTCTCACATTTCGAGTTGTTTCTAAATTGAGATTAATAAAGTTAATTTTAACAGATTTTGGAGAACGGAGGCATCGGTAAGGAATTAACAAAAAGGGCCTACGTATCGGTAAGGAATTAAGCAAATGTGTTGGACAAAACAGCGAAAACGACTGTCACTCGAAGCTCGTACAGTCACATTCTGCAAGTTCGGCGTGTTAGTATATATAATATAAATATATGTATTTTGTATATTTGCAACAATACAGGCGAATGCGTGTAAAGTATATAAGTATATACATTTATGGATTGTGGGCGGATCGTATCGACTGTGTGCGGTTGTAACGGTTTATACGATAGGACGGAGCAAGGAACAAGAACCGAAATTTAAAAAATTAGTTACCTTTTACTTAAAAAATAGTTATAAAATTTTTTCTCATCAAAATACATTTAATTCTCCCGGAAATTACCCAAACAAATGTCAAATATAAATGTGAATCAAACATTTCATACGCGCACGTTCGCATATACCATATAATCTCTCGACGTAATGCGTCATACAAGCGTATTAATTGTTTAATGTTTCAATGTGAGCAATCAATAATGCTAATTTTAGGACGCACGTTGGAACAATAATTGACTTTAACACGACGTGACGTCCGGTCCGCGGAAGTCATAACAAACATTTATTCGAACGCGTCCGCAAAAGTATTATCTGTCAAGCCTGTCAGTTATGTTACGTCGGCTGATTTTTCTTGCGAATTTCGTTTCGTTGACGTTGAAGCAAAGTCGGGGGCGCCGAACGTAGGCAAACATGACGAGAACTTTAAATCAACGTCGATAGATATCCGCACACACTTTACGGATGTAAACTGGCGTGAAAATAAACGGGACAAAAAGATAGTTCCGGGAACGCGGTCGCGAAGAGAAGAGAATAGTAGAGAAAACAAGGCACCTGCCGTTGCAGAATGTCACGGCGAACGTTTTGCGAGAGAGGGGAAAAAGGGATAATTACCACAAGCGTAAATATATAATCCTCTAATACGCAAATACGGTGTAATATGTATTACGGAAAATTCTGTCTCAGCGAGTATTTACAAAAGATACGCACAAATCTACCGAGACTGCTGATGTTAATACGATATTACGTGCCTTGCGCGATCTATCTATATATATATTTACCTGGCTCGTATTTCTAAAATTAAATAAAAAGAAATTGTCTCTCTCTCTCTTTCTCTTTCTACTACAACTAGAAAATACTAGTTGGTAGTCCTTCGGACTACTGTAATAACCTGAACTTAGGCTACCAAAGCTGGATCAAGATTGATCCAACTTCTAAAAAGCATTCTTTTTCAAAATATATACATATTTAGTAAGAAAATATGTAATAACAATTTTAAATAAGTATTTACTTTTAAATAGATGCAGAGCTACGTGCGATAACATATAATAAATGAGGGTAAAAGCTGTTTAGTTATTCGGGCTTTCCCGAAATTTACGTGTTGAGTCTTTAAGCCTTACATATTGGTTTATATCGAAGGTAGAAACGCGTTCTGTTCGTGTCATTCGTGTATCGATGGACACGAGGTCCCATCTCAGGTCCTCGGGTGTTTAATTATGAGGAATTTTCTGACGCGGCGATTCTCCTGTCGGGTCGAGTCGATATTTCACGTACGCATTGTATAACACGGGACGAAGTTCTTTTTTTGCGCTCGAGTCGTCGTGGGCGTTTTAGAGAGAAAGTGACAGAAAAGTTACGGATAGAACGAGTAAGAAAAGAAGAGAGAAAGATAGAGGTAGGATAGTACGAAGAGAAGTGTAATGTCGTAAGTAGTGAGGTGAAGTATAGTGAGAAGTACATAGTAAAGTATAGTGAAGTACAGGGAAGACACAGAGAGAAATATATAAGCGTGTGACAGAAAATAGTTCAGATTGTGCTACACTGTTAAAAATGTGTGGCGTCGTTTTACGTACGTTTAGAGTGCGTAATTATCGTAGGTGAGAGAAGTGTGGTGAAGAAGCATGAACGCCGAGACGCAAGTTGGCTCTCAGCGTGATTTCGCTTCTAATTCCGTAGTAGAAAATCGAATAACATGATTTTGCGCTACTTGTCGATGTCGCCGCGATGTCACGAGAACCGACGTGCGAGAAATCGGTTGCCGCTGGTTGCGACGCTTCTTTTTAGCAGTGTAACTGGTAGAAATTCTGTATAGTAAGGTACATGAATGTCGATCTTCGTAAGAAGACGTGATGTGCAGCGAGGTGTGATATATACGCGCAGTACAAAAAAGACAACGGCAACAGCAACAACGACAATGGCGATCAAATGCCTAAGAAGACACATCGCATGCAAAGCAATTTGTGCAACACGCCCGTTATATAAACCGGAGCAAGAGTCTCATTGCCGTCGATATTGGCAGTCCAGGACAAAGAGCCAACCCTGGGATCACCGCGTAATCCTAGAAGGGCCATTTACCGCATCATTTAGGCGGGATATGGTCTGTTCGGGCGATCCTAGGATGGCTGCCAAACAACACAAACATTCTGAGCACGTCCAGAAAACGTCGACTTGTCGTCTGGAAGATTTTATTGTGTATTTTGAACATTCTTTAGGTCTGTTTTTTTATTCCTGCATTAAAACTTTTTTCTCGTTTTCATTTATATATTTGAGATAGTCTTAAGTGCAGTTTTAAAATGGCATATCACAGAACCATATTAGCATCATACGACATTACTTAAGACGATCTTAAAATAAGAACCGCTATGAATATACCAAGTCCATACGTTTCAAAAGTGTATATAAGTTTAACTACAGAAAATAGATCTATAATGTTCCCATTGCATTCGCAATTTAGACGTTTGTATTATTTGCGTTGTTGCTCCTCGTTTGGACGCGCATAATGGATGTTTATTATCCATTGCCATGAGAACGTATGAAAAGGATTGACATCATGTTTTTCATCGTTCGAAATCGCTTTGAGACTCTACCGGCGAATAGTTTTATCACCGGTCTTCGATTTCCTACAATATTAAAGATTCTAGGGGACGCAATTAGCGTTATAACTAAATTATCTATTCTGATAACATCAATATAAAAGTAACATCAACATCACCGACACAGGGATAAGCGAATGAGTATGCGAAGCGTCTAAGCGTTTCGTTCTTTCGATGCCTGAGCGAAAATGCCTGCACTCTTACAAAAATCTTAAATATTTGAAAGCACGTTCGATCAATCATTATCAAAATTAATTCAATTAACAATTCAAAGTTAACAATTCTGATAATTACTATCTCGAAATATTTGTAAGGTGTAGGTAATTTCGCTCGTCATTGCGATACACAGAGAAAACAGACGCATGCGAAGGCATGCCAGAAGGGAGCCAGCTCGACGCACTCACAGAAGACGCGGCAGGAGGCAGCGTATTAACGCACGCGTATTGTGCTTGTAAAGTGACGGATAAACGCAAAATGAAGAAGCACCGGGATTATCGCCGGCAATCATATGCAACGTTTGATTATCCACTCCGGATAATCCGCGTGCCCCGTTGTAAGTCCCCAGTACCGGCTCTAGGCAGGCTTTTTCTCCTCTTCCTCAATATATTCGTCGCAAAAAATACGATATTAAAGACGATCTGAAGAATGATCTCCCTCGTAAAAAATCTCATATAATACTTCGTTAAGCATACTTTATTAAAATCTTTATTACTTCTAAAGTCGGTACCGGTAGCCTCCTCCTGCCTTCCCCCCCCCCTCCCCCCATCGAAGAAATGACGACGACATGCTGGAAAGCGCTTATCTCCCAGTATACGTTACCTGAGGCCTCAGAAATCATATAAAGTGCAGGCGGACGCACGTTGCGAGAGATCGCACGACTTTAATTTGTCGAAAAATCAAAACGTGAAGTACGTATGTATACTTAGCGTATATATATATATGTAGATGCGGTGTAGTATAACGTTAATATATATGTACGAATAAATATATATAAGTAATATGCTATATAGAGAAATCAAAAATGCCCTCGAGAAGATACGTGAAAAAGTATCCTTTTTTTTCTTTTTTCTTTTTTTTTTTGGTAGGTACCTGAAACACCGTCACAATAGCCCAGAGTAACGAGTCAAAGTTTTTCCTATCACACTCGACGTCAGAGCTGCCTTTCATCGTTTCACAGAATTTGCAACCAAACAGGTTCATCCCGAGAATACTACAACACAACGAAACGTGCAATGTACTTCCTTATCCATATATATATGTATATATATATACGTAGACTGAGATAAAATGACAAAAAAATGATAAAGAAATAGAATGAGAACAAACAGAAAAGGAGGAGGGAATAAAGCTCGATTAAGACAAAATCGCGATTTATGAAGCATTACTCGACCAAGTTCAACCGATCAGTTCAAAATATGTACATACAAAGTGTTCTAAAACCAACGGATATTTTTTCAACTAAAAATTTGGTTACAAAAGAAGAATGTCACAAACTTTTAATTTTAAATTCTTTTGGAAAAGAGAGAGAGAAAAATAGAAGACATATTAAATTAGAGAAAGTCTATTTAAGTAAAGTTTAATTAATTATGTAGAATCAAATAAGAAGCCCTGTCACAGAAATATGATAACATTCAATGTTGAATGTTATCTATGGTTGAATGAACATCCAGTAGTTCCATGACATTTCGTATATATTGTATCACGTGTCTCGTAATACGACGAAAGTGCAGAATCGATTGACATTCTTTCACGATCTTTACGTCGTAAAGTATAATGTCCGTTGGTAAACACGACGTGTCTCATAAAAGAAAATGTGTAGGATGACAGTACCAGTTTTTAGAAGCGTTTGAGGAAGCTCAAATCGATTTTGACGTGGACTTTCGTCGTCCGTCGTAATCTGAAACCTTGGCCGAGTAAGTCGGGATCTTGCTTGCGATCACGATGCAAGTACATCGAGAGTACTTCGTTATTTAGCGTATGCCGGCCGATCAAGGAAGGAAAAATTCCTCTAAAGCGGATCTGTCGGAACTTCATTCGCGACTTGCGGCTAAAGAAGGATGCAAACACTAGAGATGGCCGTCGAAGAAGATGTCTACGGATCGGCGCGCAGAGACGTACCCGCAAGCATTTGCATAGTTCCGTACGACTTTGTATTCACTTCTGAAGGTTCACTTTATCTTCAAGAGAGTTCCGAACAAAAAAGATCACCGCATTCGCGTCAAATGCGCGAAGTTGCCGAACCTTCTCTGCTTTCTTTTTTCTTCGCAATTTCTCGAAAAAAAAAGTCTGCTCTTGGAAATCATACTTACCAAAATATTAACTTTCAATTTTATTTTAATCTAAAAAAAAAAAATGCTTAAGATACTTTTGTTATCAAGACTATTAAAAAATCAAATTTTTAAGTATTTTGATAAGACTACTGATAATATACACATTCAATATATAATAACAATAAATTCTTTCTTTTTTTATTTTTAAATATTTTGAACGTTTAATGAATTGTTAAAACTATTCAAGTATAACGATATTTTCAATGTTTGCGTCTACGTGTCTGCGGCAGATATCGGGCAATCAGTTGCAGTATCGAGATCGCAATAGCGAGGGCTGCGGCTGCGGTGAACGGCAAATCGGCTATCGAACGGTCGTAAAACGCGTCGTAAACGCACGGATGTATATAGTGGGAGATCCTACGCAGCATGACGAGATATATATATATATATATGTAATTCTGCAGAGCGGGGGTATATGTCGAACATTCGCAAGCTGTTCTAATATCGAGGGCCACACCGAGGCGCACGCACTTAATATAGGCGCTCAGAGTAGCAAGAGAGAACGATAGCGGGAGAGAATCACGTGTATATAATGAATATAAATCAAGAATATGATGATAGTAAATATATATATATATACATATAGCCTTTCATACTCGTCGCTAAGACGTCCAGCAGAAAAGCATCACATGCACACACATGTAAATATATATTCCATATACGTATATATATATTTATATATAGATATATCTTCTAGATAAACGTCGAAAGTACGTTCGATGCCTCAAGCTATAAAGGAGGGGCCGGTAGCAAACCGGCTCTACCCTTGTAATAGATCGTGCCAACAAATACCATCGTCATTACCATTAACAACGTCAGAAAATATGCCGCTCAAAGAAACGCTAGGAGACGCGAGAACACGGGACAACTGCTGGTAAAAACTGCTTGAGAACTTCTATATATATATATATGTGATATGCATAACTGATGGCGGCTTATACACCGCGCAGAAACAAAGTAAAAGCGAATAAAGTAGAAGAGAAAGGTATGAACGGAAGAAAGTCACCTAATGTAGGCCTCGGCTCGAAGAGCAGCGACGCGCGATTTGCTCCTGAAGCTCGTAAGCTCGTAGAAGCGAGCAAAAAACTGCTTTCGAAATATCAAGCGTCGACGACATTATTATCAACGTCTTTGTTATCAAATAAACATAATTAAAATGATGCTGAATGAATAATTAATAAAAGAAAAGGAAGAAACAAAGATAGAAATTAAACAACTTTTTTAATGAGGTTAGGATTATAATTATTATGATCAAACATAAGTAGTATTTTAAATAAAAATAATATCTGTGAAAACTATTTAGGATTTTTATATTGTATTATTAATGTTCTTTTTAGTTTTTTAAGGCTTGTTTCCATTGAAGTTAATCATCTCGATTGCGGTATATTGGTTTCTTCTTCTTTGTTTATAAAAGAAGAAAAAGTCAGTATACCCCGATCGGCACAATCGGCTTCAGTGCTCTGTAAAGAGTAAGGTTTCTCTCTTTTGGAGTAAGATTTATTTCAAAGAATTTAAAGAATGAGGACGAGTCTTTAGAAAAGATATTTTAATACATCTATATTAACAACAATTTTTAATGAATAAATCTCTGATATATTTTTATACGTATTTCTAAAGCTACCGAATAGCTTGGATAAAATCTGATTATTAAACATAGCTTTTCTATTACCGTTATTGAAAGTGATGTAAATATGTTATAATAAAACTTATAATAAAAATACCGCTGAAAGTGATATAAATATATTATAATAAAACTTACAAAGCTTAATTGAGCTTCTTCATGATTTTGCCGTAAGCCTGCCACAAAATTTATAGAATTGATGGCTATTATCATTGTTATCGACACTTCATATTTCCAAGCTCTTGCTCAATTTTTTTCACTATACCTATCGGCAGTTTCGTAACTTTGATCCGCTTTGCCAGACATGCAAACGTTACTAGGCTGATGAGATGATAATTAGAACAGGAAGACGCGACAGCGCCCCATAATCCGAGTAAACGCGACGCGCAAGTTCGATCGGGCGGTTTCCTCGCGGTCGAACTCATCGTATTATTCATCGGCGATGGTACCAATTCGCGAAGTGGGTGAACGATTACACACGTAAGAAAAAAAAAGAGAAAAGAAACAGAAAGCGAAAACGGAGAGAATATCCGGCGACGTGGGTCCGAGGCTCGGAATTCCGCGGCAGTGTCACTGACGCGGACGAAGATAGGACGGCGACTTACCTGAATATAAAGATGAAAAGTACTAAAAGAGAAAAGAATACGGCAACGTTATCCATGGTGCGCAGCATCACGAAGAGCTGACGTCGTAGGTTGGGCAGAAATCGAACTAGCTTCAGGATCCTGAGGAGGCGGAAGGTACGCAAGACACTCAGACCGGAACTGCCACCACGCTCTTCTACGACTGATTGGCAGAGCTCGACGACGCTGTAAACGCGTTGCAATAAGTGCAATAGTATTATCGTTTGTCAGCTTGTTGTAGACGATCCGTCCTCGAACAGCTTTACGAGATAGCCATAACGATCTACTACCAACTGTTATGACTTTCTCGTAAAGTCAGAATGTGACTATAAAGTTGAAAGAATTGCGCTGACAGTTGCGTGTACATTTTACACAGCAATACTGTATACGTGACACCTATTTAATATTATTATTTGTACACACGAGAAGGCTATTTTATTTTCATATATTATACGTAATTATAATATCAAAATTTAAAAAGAAAGTTGCGCCATACCTCAAAACGACGACGACGCCGTCGAAAACATTGAAGCCATTACTGATATAACCGAATGGACCTTCCGCTATTATCTTAAGCAACATTTCCACCGCGAAGATTGCCGAGAATACAATGTTGCTTATCTCAACGGCCACCGTTAACTGTTCTGGCTGAGTACACATAACATAACGTAATTAGTAACATAATCATAATTAGTAATTACACTTTGCGCAGTATTATCTTCATTTTAATTCACTGCGTTATATCGAGAATGGACACGGAAAGAACGATTTTGCTGAAGTATCTAAAAATTTTGCTACATACAGATCAAAAAATAATTTTGTTGAACTATCAAAATAATTATGGAAAAATTATGTAGGACACTCAAATTAAAATATAGAAATTTTTTTGCAGCATTGCATATCATATGTGTGCTGAGTGTCTTATATAATTATTCTAATATTCCAACAAAAATTTTTTTCAAATTTCTATCCAGCTAAATTTTAGATATCTTAGTATAAAATCATTCTTTCTTTATAATATTACACGGCAACTTTTGCTTTTTATATTTAAAGTAGAAAGTATCGCCGAACTCGTATAATAAAATATATTATTATAATAACAAATACATATAATAAATAAAATACTTTAATAAGAAGACACAAACAAAGTAATACCAAAAAGACCCGAAATGACGCGAAGTAATATATTCAAGTTCCAGTGAGAAATCACCTGATTGTGATATTCGATTCCCATGCTTAAAGTATTGATGAGGATCGCCAGTAAAATACCCTGTTGGAAGTATTTGTGCTCGACCAGCTTCTTGATCCACCGTCTTATACAACGCAATGTACAGATACAGCAGCTGACAGTTCGTCTCAGTAGCTGTCTAGGCCGCGAAGACTTTTGCCACTTCTCGCCATCATCCGGCCACTGATCACCTCCCTGCAGTTCGCAGCAACAGGAACAGTTGTCAACGTCGGATGTTAACCACTGCGTGCGATCTTCCAATGTAATGTGACGATCTGTTATACCTATGGGGGGAACACATTAACTCATTTTTATATTCTCTTCGACTTGACTAGGTGTGCGAATTCTATTAACTGTTTGTAAATATTTTTAAAACTTAAATGGAATAGATATTCAAAAGCATACAAATTTAATTTTTATCAAAATTTAGAATATCTCTTAAAAAATGTAATATTTTTATTAAAAAATTGTATTATTTTAGTAGCTTTTATTTTAATATTTCTGAAAGTTAGACAAATTATAAGTTAATCTAAAAGGTTAATTGATTCGAAACGTTTTTAGAAAAAAATCTGTATAATAATAAATATTGTATAATAATTCATGTACTTCCATTTTACGACAAATTATGTTTGTCGTATGTCATATTGACTTGCCTTTCGTGAGAGAATTTAAAAACGAATCGAGCGCTAATTGGCCGGTTGGCAGAGCAGCACTGAGAGCACCACTGAGAGCCAACAATTCTTGACACGTCATAGCCTCGTTGCCACCCAGTTCGGCTTGCATCTGCGACAGTATGCTTTATTTACGGGAGGGAAAAAGACCTTTACGGAGCGACCATGGCAAATGAAATTAACCTGTGCGTGGTCCGGCAGTGGACTGGACCAAACGTTACCATCGCCCGTCTGTGTCATCTTCTCGCTCGAGCAGACGTTACGTTCGCCCGGTGTCACCGTCAACCCCGGCTGCAACGCATTCCCGACATTATTGCTGCCATGGAGCAGTACGACGTCGCTAAACATTACGCTGCTTCTTCTCCGATAATGCGTACATGGTGGACTCAACAACGTGCTGTTCGTCTAGAAGGCGATAATCAAGCATACATTACGCATACGTTACACACTACGGCAGGCGCTCTCTCTCATAACCGTTCTCGGCCCAAACTCGTAGCATTAAGGGAAGAAACTGTATGCACTTTATCTTGCCGTACCTAAAGCTTAAAATCTCTTTGTGCAAACGTTCTCTCTCTATTATCGTCGATGAGAAACTCGACGAAACGTGATGAAACGCTAATGTTCTTCTACATGAAAAGCATGTATAATCACTATGAGATACACTACTATCGATATAAAGCAGAAGATACCATAAATGTCAGCGAAGAGAATAGCTTAACGGAAAGAGCGCTAAACGAATCATTCAAAGACGTTCCTGCTTGCTTACAGTTACTTGCTTACTAAGATCAAAGTCGAGTGTAATATTTCTAGAGAGCAAAAAACTCAAGCGGCATAAATTAAACTACCGGAGAAACGAAATAACGTTATGAATCTCCAATACAATAATAAAATTATTATTAACTTCCATATCGTTTCGTTAGTTATCTTGCTTTATTTAAATTAATTAATTAATTATTTAAATATTATATATTATTGGAAAATCATTTTCCGATATTTCATTTATCGAACTTCAATTGCGCCGCTTCTATTTAAATAAAATTTCGTGTGTCGTGTTCTCGCATGCAAATCTACGATATCTGTACTTGCCTCAGCCACATTTCCCACGACAGCGTTGTCGCTTCCGTTACAGGACACGGACGAGGTGCGATGAATGCTTAATCTGTGACATACATTTGCGGAAGCCTCGGCCTCGGAAAGCTCGGGGCTAGCTCGAGGCGCGGTGCCCAGGTTTCCACTACCACCGACGCTATTGCCGATAGTCGTGGGGACGGCAATTGCCATCGCCGATTGCGTCGGGGATATCATCGCGGCGAAATCGCCGACAGATCCACCGTTTCCATTGGTAGCCTGTTGCTGCTGTTGTTGCTGTTGCTGCTCTGCGTATTCTAGCGCGGCGAGGAGCCGCGGACATCTCCCGTGATGCAGTCTTCTGTCTGAATATTGGATTTTTAAAAATAATTTCTAATAATAGCAATCAAAGTTACTTTTTAAAAACAGTATTTAGTAGAAATTTTTAATAAAATTTGTCAATTACAATGTAAATCCCTACAGATAGATATATTAAAGAATAAAAATATTTATATTAAACACACACATTATAGAAAATTTATTAAAATAAAGTTTAATACATTTTAATGTAAGTATAAAAAGCGATAATTTTGAGAGTTCAAATCGAGGTTGATATTAGTGCCATAGAAATTGTAAGACTTCCATTTTCATCGTATTTAACAATAACCGCTGATAAAATCCCGCTAGAACTGTTAAAGGTATCAATTTTCTATTTTTGTTTTCAATTAGGAAAGATTTATTTTGGTATTATTTGTATCTAAAATATTTATATTAACATTTATACTTTTTCAATATTTTGAACTACTGCATACCTTATACAAAAAAGAAAGAAAAATTGAGACGATTAGCGGAGCTAAAATGGTGTAAAATCGACGGACTTCGAATTAATTTCTTTTTTTCAATATTCGATTTTTTAATTTCATATTATTTACCACCCGGTACGCGATTTGGTCCGACAGCAGCTGCGTTTGAACGAGACGCTTGAGTCTGCTGCTCCTTGAGTAGATTCTGCTCCCGTTTCTGCTGCCTCCTATAAAGCCACAGGCGATATCTCTTCATCAGTCTTCGTTTACCTCGTCGCCAGAGATGGGCGATGTATCTGGAAAGAGACATCAAATTGTCATCTGTCGTAAAACACAGGCGCCAGCGAATCTTCCGCGGAATAAAAGCGGCGAGGAATAGTCCAGCTCGCGCGAATAGCGTCCTCGGGAGCCGTGCAACGATGACGAGTACCCACTTGACGATTTCGGCGTAACAAGTAGTAGGCTCCGAGGTATTCGTGGATGAGGCAAGCGTCGAGGTCGAATGGTAGCGCGCGCGCTCCAGCCGCATTCTCTCCATTTCCCGCTTCTTCGTTTCCGAAAATTGCGTCGCGATTACGACCAAGCAGAGGTTGATCATGAAGAACGAACCAATCTGCAAACGCAGATCCTCTTTAATCCATGCATCCCTCTTTAATCCTCTCATCATAATATACCCCGTATTTGTTTTATATTTATGTTGTAATTATTATCTTCTCATGGATTATATTACAATTTTACTCTACCAGTTGATCGTTAAAATCGTGGCTATTAATGATAATGACTGTCATTATTATTATTTGAATTGTAGAAGTGATTTGTCTCGAAGAGCCGAAGGCTCTTAAGTCTCGTATTAAAACGTTACAGCTGAATTTTTGTTAAAAATGAGCGAAGTAAGACTGTGGAAAAAATAGATAGCGTATATTCATGTTGTACACGTTGCGTTCGCGGTGCAATTGAGATAGGAAATGAAACACTTACGACTATCAGGAGAACGAAATATATCCAGTCCCAGAAGGAGTGGGCGTCTTGCACGTAATACATTATGTCCGTCCATCCTTCCAGGCTAATAACCTACAAATCGACATGATTGCGCTATTCAGCTTTACGGCGAAATAGCGACGAAAGAGGGTGACAAATTTCATCTATTAATCAATTGATGTAAATTTCGAAGTAAAGATATTAAAACATTATTACGGTTAAATTTTTGTGAAATTTTAGAAACACATATTTTAGAAAAAATCATGCTACCAACCAAAAAGGAAATATGTAGCTAATGTAAAGCTCATATATTTTGATCATATCAAAATATGAAATCTTTGGGCTAGCACATTATTCACTTGCCATAACATATCTCATCGAAAATACATTCGTCCGCAATATCGTCGATGGCGTAGTTTTTCTCTTGGCATTATCGCAGACTAATGTGCGCGATCCGCGTTTCCATCGACTTTCGGGCGCCATAAAAGTATTTTGCATACTTATAAATGGAAGAAATATTCCGTGCGATATATACCATGTTTGAGTAACATGTGCACATGCACTCGTAAATTATTCTGAACAAATGTAGGACGAGTAACTAAAGCGCTCACAAGAAATATCGCAACCCAGGCGAGACCGATGTTATCGAATGAAATTGTTCCTTGGAATGGATTGTTGCCCTGGCCTTTGCACTCGGTGTAGTAGTAGTTCCAATTAACACAGGTATCATTGTTGATGTACGTCACGTTACTGTTTGGCACAGCAGTACTGTTGCACACCAAGTTGCCTGAATGCGAAAAACCCCGTTGCGTTCGATTATGATGATGAAGCAATCAATTACCCGAATGTGTACAATGTAAATGGATGTAACGTGATAGATTCAAAATATTGAACAGCTTGGAATAAGGAAAATTTGACTTTAATATTTGTTAAAGCGTATTTCTCGTCAAAGTTTAAAAATATTTATAAGCTGTTTTTGAATTTTAGATTTCTATAGCATCCCGTATAAAGCAGTTTTAATTTAATTTACTATACGTGATTATTAAGGATTTAAATTTAGTGATATATAATATTTCATTAAATTATATTTTGCAAATTTATTTGAAATTCGTTGATGGAGAATGTACTCACCCAATTTAAGAGGTGGTAGATTACTGCAGGAGTGCATCCCGCTGTCGTCGGGACGCGAACAAATGTAATCCTGACCCTGATACTCGAAATACTTCTCCAGATCGCTGGAAAATCAACGGAGCGACGATTAAAAATTTACGCACACCGATCCTCGCGTAGACCTTAAGTTTAAAGACTTGCGTACATATGCCTTATGCACGGATGCACTCTTCACATGCTTCGCTTATGCGTACATTGTAAGTAGGTATGCAGAGAGCGTGTTATAATAAATATATAGTAATATAGCGTAAACGTGTATATACACATATATATACAGAACGAGTCACTAGAAACTATCGTCTAAAATAACTTTTTATGCACAGACTTAAAAAGATATAATTAAAAGGAATGATGTAAGCAAATTTAATGAATCTTGTGTTATTTAAAAATATTAAGACAACTTTGCCGAGGATAAAAAATAAATGCGACGGTGTAACACAATTTTAAATAATTTTTAATTTTAATATGTGGAGGCACACGTCTCTTCCAAAGAAAGAATTGTAATTTGTGAGATATAGCAAGAAGTTATTTCAGATGATGGTTTTTAATCAATTTGTTATATATATATATGTATATATTCATATAGGTACTCATAATATATATAATATTCAGAGGATCGCGGAATTACCGGAGGAGCTCCCAGTGTAATTTTATGTAAATGGATACTGGAACCTAACCGAAAATATATAGAAGTGCAATCGATCGGAGTGGAATAGATTCCCGTGCTATAGATTCCGAAGAATGTATATGCATACGAATGAAGGCTAATCGTAAACAACCTACGCGGCGCAAATTGTCAGCGTAACGCGGCTGTAGCACTGATTCGCGAAACTGATCGATATGTGCTTAACGCGGTATTCGTACCGAGATTGCTTTGAATAAAGCGTGTATTGTTCGGAAAATCGAGCGCGTTTCCTATCGTTATTGTCATGCTTACACTTTCGACCCTGTTTATATCACTGGTCGACAGCTCGTCCGATGATTCTCGGACACCTTATATAGTACAGTATACGTACACGTATGTAGATGCTGATGTACAACGTACGTGCGCAACGATTGAGAGAAATGTAGGCAAATGCAGATATACCGACACGAGAGAGTTTGCGTGCATACAGCTGGTATCACGCCGAAAATAGTCGGCTAGTGCGAAAAGAAAAACAATTAACACGTTCCTCGCGAAGTATCGTATCAGTCATGGGTGCCGAAAATGAATGGCCATTTCTAGCTTCGAAGATTGCAAGTCGCCGTCGCGTCGTCGAGCCATGTAATAAATAAAACCTTCCTCTTCAAGAAATTCGAACGGTATTGAACTTGATGTTCAAAAGACAATCGCGAATCAAATATTTATAATACATTAATTAATCACTTGATTTATTATTATTATTATTAAAAGATAAAAATTACTGAGAGCAAAATTGGTCGTTCTCTCTCTCAAGTGCGGAATAATACGTTTATGTAATCCTGAATATATTAAAATAAAATATGAGCAAATATACATGACGTTTCGCGAGTTTGATGGATAATTCATAATTTTATGCTACGCGCTCTTTAAGATCGGAGGATATTGTGCCATCTTTCTCCAAGCTCGATTATACTCCTCTATCGCAATATGGCGTCTTTTATTCTGGATTCTCAGACGTTCTCGTGATTGATAATCCCGTTTAAATTAGATGATTGATCTAATTTCGCATTTTATCTCCCTTTACACTGGTACTCTTATAACGGTCACGATGAAATATCATATTTCTTGTTATTTACTGTAATGTCATAATGAAATTCATTGAATAGAAAAAAATATAGCGATAGAGGAATATATTGCATTATGTAGCGATATATTTGCTAAAATAATGCGACACGATTTCACGTTATCCAAACACACGCTATGTATGCTTAATTAGCGGTGTGCACGTGATCGCCTGTGCTCTCCTTAATTTGCGTGCCTTTAACGCGGCCATAGGCGTGTGCTTCACGTTTGTGCTTGCTGTGCTGATCGTGCCCATCGTTCTAGATCCTCTCGTATGTTATATATTTATAAGGAGACCAGATGTCCTACTTTTGAACAATATATCAACCCCATAATATATTGCAATAAACTTTTCCTATTTGTGCCTGTACCTTAATGCAAATTCAATTTAACTTGGAAATGATCGTAAAATATGATTTCAAAGACATGTCTAAAACTTTGTAAAAATACATATTGCCAAAAGAAAAACAACAGTAATTAAATTCAGTCTAATAATTTTAGTTTAGCTTACTGTTTATCTTCTGGTTTTAAGAATTAGAAAAAGATATAAAGAATAAATTAAATTAGTTATATAAGAAAGTTAATTTATATTCACAAAAATGGGCAGTAATCTATCATTATAATGCCTTTCTCAAAACAAAAGAGACCAACAAATTACGGGATCGTGATTACAAAAACCTGGTCGCCTTGTGCATCCGTGAGCGCATTTTGGCAGCGAGCTCTATGCAAATAGCGATGACACCTCGATGTTTTCCAGTAAAGCAAGCGGATACATAATAGTTTCCAAGATCAAACTCTCAATTGCATGCATATCTGTTTTCTTCTAAACTATAAAAATGTGTTACTTTAATCATTATTGCACCGCGCTATTGCTTTCGATATTGGTTTAAATTCCAATACCGTTCGTATAATCGAGATATACGTTGATACGCCATTTCACTTGGCTTGCGTGTTTGAAAAATTACGAGTTGATATCGTTTTTCAGGGCCATCGCTATCCGCGAAGCTCCAGCGCTGCGCTACCACGGCGCAGGAACGGCAGTAACGCCGGTGCAGAAGTCGATAAACGTTCGAAAATAGCTGCTGCGTATACCGGAATAGACCGCGCGAGCATCGCGCGTTTAATTAGCTTCTCTCTGGGCTTGGAGCTTCATGGAGGCTACTTCTCTCTTTCCTGCACTATCGCGCCATGCAAATTTGGAATTATAATGATTTCGGGGCACTATGCACCTGGGCGCGCAAGTATTCCTTTAGGACTGCATATCTTAAAATGTGCGATGAAGTTTCTTGTTCCTTAAACACGTTGTAACCGAACGGGAACAGAACATCCCATGAGACGTGCAGATGTGAAAGTCTAGAGTTCGGCTCGTTTCATAGTCATTAACAGCAACGTCATTGATAATGCCCAGAGTGCCTCTGATACCGCATCCTATATAATGAGGTCTTCGGGAAGAGTCGAATCCTTCCTTAAAATGTCAAAGTTTCAATCTCTCGAATTTTAAAGAATTAGAGACAAGAAACTTCCCGTTTCAAGGAAACGCCAACTTCAAATTCATGGACCAAAGAACTCTATTTAGTACATGGATCGTGAAATTCGGGATCCTCAGGGACGTAATGGAAGGATACGCTGCTATCGTGAAAGCGGTGCGATGTAGTGAAACCACAGAGATCACCGATGCCACACATAGTTACTTAAACGATAATTATCATATGCACAAAGCATCGTTAATGCTTATCGAGACAAGACACACGTTGAGGGAGAATAAAACAGAGAGGCAGAGAGTGAAGGTGACAGAATGAGAGTGAGAGAATAAGAGAGGCGCGTGAGCCACGAAAGAAGTATGTCTATAGAGCAAAGAAGAGGGAGAACATCGACTCGTGCATCGAAGTAGCCGAAGAGATCCCGAAGTGTCGGAGTATAGTAATCTCGTGGAGAAACATGGAGTTCCGGGTCGCCTACAAATTACGGATCCCTCCTCCATCACGCGATTTATGTGCAATGTGTGTGTATCGAGGAGAGAGCTTCGGTGCTAGAACGTTTAAGTGTGTGAAGACGGTGAAGCAACCCGTACACTAAAATGCTATCTCGAAGTTTAGGAGGATTGGATCTCTTCTCTCGCTCTCGGGGATCTCGGAATCATCGTCTCCTCGATCGGCAGCCAATATACGAAATAGTGTTTTTTGTTCGTCGTCGGTCGAGTCGACATGCTCTATATGTGAGTACACACTACGATACAGTCGCACACTGGTTAAAAGTACAGTGGTTAAAAGAGAAGAGGGAGAGAGACAGAAGTGAAATAGGAAAAAAGAGCGAGAGAGAAAGAGCAAGAGAAAGTGAGAGTAAGAGAGAAAGAGAGATATTATATACATATGCACATCACGTATGGTTGCATGTATATACAAATATGTACATATGGATGCCAGTGTATGTATAGTCTGTGATCTATATAGTAGGTATGTATTATTGAGAGAGAGAGAGAGAGATAGAGAAAGATACATATGTATGTACAGCACATTGTTCTCTACTAGAGCTTACTAAATGCGTGATCGAACCGAGTACTCGTCCGAGAGTAACCTGCAACAGCGAAACAATAGCCTGTCACTGCCTCCCTGGGGTCATGTACTTACATGTCTAGGTTTTTTTAGTCACGAGGAGCAGAAGAGGGAGAAAGAAAGAAAGAAATGAGAGAGAAAAAAAAAAGAGAACGAGAGACAGGAAGGAGAGTGAGAAGAGCATCTTAAATCGCCTAACGTGATATACTTCTGTAAAGCAAAAGTTGAGGAAGTAGAACATACTGATCCATCCAGGGCTTTTCACGATTTTCTTATGATCCCTTATACCACCGATGATATCTTTCTCAGCTAGAACGCACCAACAATCTCAAATCGATATCCATTTGACAGAAAGGTCGCTGTAAGTGTCATGCTTTTAAAATTATTTTTAAAATAACTTTGAAAAAGGTTTTAAACGTTTGGATCGATAGGACAAGACTGATGATTGCTGCGTATTAAATTATTTATACGACAAAAAATTAAATGTAAAGGTTGCCTCCCTTTTATACTGTTACAAAAACTGAACATTTTTTAGAAAAGTAATTTGCATTTTTTATTCATTTACAGAGATCTTTCATTATGTCCAAGCTTAATTTCTTTATAGGTATTCACAACGATTCGCATAAATTTTCAAACAAGTTACTAATTATGAAAAAAATATTGTCAAGAGGAACTAAAATTGTTCTTGGTTTTTTATAGATGTTCCTGTTTTTTAAATAGATATTGCTGCATACATATATCAGATATTATATAAAGTATAATAAATATATTCCCGCACACACACACAAAGAAAGAATAATACTTTTTTTTAAATATAAGAAAAAAATAAAAAATAAGTGTAGATCATCTGTGTTACTTGCGAATATTATATAAATAAAATTTAAAATTATTTAATTATCCGCTGAGACAATGATTTTATGGGTATAGTTTCGTGATAAGCCGAGCGGAGTGAGTTACAAAGTTTGCACTGTATTCTGAGCAAATATCGATCGTTTTGGTAGAAGCGGATCGAGCGCGCAAAGTATTGGCGCAGAGAAGAACTGCAAAAGATAGAGCGAAGGAAGAAAAGAGCGGAGCGTTAAATTTACAGCAAGAAAAACTCGGCAAGCGATGCTTTGCGACAACGGGAGCTACTCGCCATGCAATCTGGATATTTTTATTATATTTAGATTACAATTGGGCTCCGCGTGAACGAACCGTACGACCAAGTTGTTTACTCGACGTCGAATCGCGTGCATGTAGTACGTGGCTAATTCGCCACGCTCTCGAACTTTTGACTATTTTACTCGCAGACGCAAATTCCATAGCAAAAATCCCGAAGAAATCTGCATCGTCTTAGGCGACGAAAACAAATTGCATATAGGCGTGTCAAATAGAAATATTCTATCTAAGCAAAAAATTGTCGAGCAAAAAATTGCACACGCAGTAATAGACTTTTTTTTTACGCAATAGCATGCTTTGAACACGGTAAACGCAAATATGCCTGAAGGTATTAAGATACATAAAATATTATGATGTATAAAAAATTGCTTCTCCTGGTCGTTTCACACGTAAAAGGCCATAACGTTTACTGTATTCTGATGTATGTTATTGCAAAAGCTTCCCAAAATAGAATTTTTGTACAAAAGTGAAAGTGTTTTGAATATGGCAAGTGCTGGCTAAATTCATATTTAGCCATTTTAAATGGAAATTATTAAAATTGAGAGATAGTTTTGTTCTGAATGCTTTACTGTTTAACGTGTTTGAAGTACACGGTAACAAAAATTTCTAGTTAACGACAAATTGCCGGATGTGAGTTCCACAAGTTTCGCCGTCTCGCGGAAATGCGACGGAGCGCTTCAAACTGCACAGCGATCGACAGATAGACAGAAGAGAACGAGATGCGATGCAGCATGAGGCGCAATAACGTGAAGAAATCGAAGTCCAACATTTACAATTAAAAAAAAATAAATAAATAAGTAATCAACGATTAGGACCTAAAATTCTTGCCGACTTACTCGGGATACTTGATGTTGGGCAGAGCCTTGAGGAAGCAGCGTTGGCGTAGTATGCCTTCCCATAGCTGCACGCCCACGATGCCGAATATGAAGAAGACGAAGAAGCACAATAACAACACGTTGCCCAGCATGGGAAGGGTGTCGAGCAGCAGCATCACCAGTATCCGCATACCTATCAGAGGTGTTCGTGAAAATAACGCTTGGTAAGCGATTAATAAATGTGTAATGTCTTGTCGATATCATATTTCGATATTATAGAGCTGTTAACCATGTCAACATCGATTCTGCTTACGGATATTCTTCCTCGGATACTGGAACAACTACCGATATGCTATACTGATTGCTTTCTTTCTATAAATACAGTTACAATTTGAAAGTATACTGTATACGAAATAATCTAAATTCTCGATTTTAATTTTAATGGTAAGCACATTGATATTATTAATATATTTTATATTTATAAAGAAAATTTGTTTTAATGAAACGTTATTCATAGATTATAGGATCTAATATCAAATACCTCAGTCATTAGCGTTTAAATTTCGAGAAAAGAAGTTGAAGATTATAATAAGATTTTGTTATTCAATTTAGTCCTGAAAATAGAAAACGTACTAATTTTTTTTTAACGGTTTATGATTTAATCATCTTGACAGTATAAAAATGGACCAAGATATAACATACATAATGATTCAAGGATCTGTTATTAAAATTAAGGTCGCGAGTTCCGATACGCGTGCAACATGTGTCGTTTACGCGAAATTCAATCTTGAATTTGATTTTAATGTTTGCAGCTAAATGCCGTTTCTTGCCAACTTTACTTGTTCTTGTTCGATATGATTATATGTATTTCTCTGTCTTCGCTACGTTTCAATTCCAAGATGAAATCAACCGTGAATGCGTTACGATCTATCGCGGTGGTTATGTACCTGGCAATGCACCGTAAAATCGACGATGGAAACAAACTGGGGTTAACCGTCAACCATCAAGGTTTCTGACATATCTCAAAGATTTCGTTTACTTACTTGGTATTCGATTGATCGCTCGTAACGGCCTTAATACTCTTATCGTTCGGATGGCTGACAGATTCATATTTTCCACGTTTAGGCAGTATTCCAAAGCGCTATAACCAAGTTGCTTTTAAATCCTTTTGATACATCTATTTTATAATTTATCACAGTAAAATGTTTTATAATTAAATAATATATTGTGTTTAATATAATTTACGCATAAAATGCATTTAATTGTTCTGAATTTAAATTTAAATATATGAGTTTAATTAAAAATTGTAATAATACATTTTACACAATAGTTTAAATAAAAAATATATAAAGTTTTATAAACGTAGAATGTCAGTTAATTATAATAATTACTATAAAATTATTACAATTTTCTATAATACATTTTTATAAATTTAACATTTAATATAGAAAGATATTGTCAATTTTCCATATTGTTATCTATTTATGGCGCGATATCAAAAATTCTCGAAGGTTTTGTACAAAAACTCTTTGAAACAAAGCACAATCTAATTTATGAAACAATAAATATCTAAATAAAATACTTACCCAGCCAGCACTATAAAGAAATCTAATCTATTCCAGGAATCCGCAAGATAAGTTCCTTTACCGTAAATTCCCATCGCTACCATCTTTATGGTCATCTCCAAAGAGAAGAAGGCAAAAATGATATCATCGAACATCTGGAAGAAATAGACAGGAGAACACAGCTTGATTAGAACTAGGTACGATCAACGTAATATACCGTGATTGATTTAGGACACTCTACTAGAGGATTCGATTAACGGCTGTACCATGTCGGTAATTTTCTCATCTCTTTCTCATTCCATCCTCTTCCTCCTCCTCCGTCTCCTCTTCCGCCACCTTTGCTGGACTAATTGCGAATCGGCCGGAAACCGTGTCAAGATGCGCAATCGATTAATTCGCTTATCAGCGCGTCGGATAATCACTTAACGTGAAAATTCCCCGTAAATTGACTTAATTGAATTGTAAATATACATTACCATTCAGATATTGGACTTTTCTCTCTGGCTCGTGAACATATAAATATGATAATTCGAATCGCGAAGAGAGTCATTCTTGGTGTGGATATTACTTAAATAAAATCGATACGTACACTTGGTTTTCTCAAATTCGACGTGATAATACGGATTACTCTGATTGATCTTTTTCAATTTTTTTCCAGTCAAATGTTGTTAAAATATGCGATTACGTACCTGCAGTATCTTACATCGATTCGTTACGCACTGGTCGTCCACGCATGGCTGGTACATCCCGAGCGTGATGCAGTTCAGAAGGATCACCATCATGCTCACCCTTTCGAACCACGTGAGTCTTTGTTAAGGAATAGATAGTTGGATATTTTTCAATCTCTCCTGATTAAAGGTTACAGATCGCAAGCGAGAACAACACGATACTACGCTACATTAAACTAACACAAAAGAGAATTTTTAAGTATATGGGACACAAAGTGCATAAGAATTATGAGAAATATTTAAAAAATATCTCGTATTTGATGCGTTGACAAGTCTCCCTAAATTGTAATCATTTATCGTAACTAAAGAATTGTTAATTTTTATTTTAAATAAATAAACTTTAATTTCTCGTATATAGTTCTCGTATTTAAATTTAATTCCATTATTTGTATGAAAATTATAAAGTATCGAAATATTATTGCGAGCAGTTAATTTTATTACTACATATGGAGTAAAAGTAAAAAAATGACGTTAATAAAAAAAATTACAGAATTGTTCATATTCGATACATATGTTATGATTGTTGAGATTATTCTATTATATTTATAATTAATTTATATAATCTTTGTCTAGTCTCGATCGATGAAAATCTAAATGCCGTAATCGGCGCACTGATTGTTGTTGCCAAGTGACTATCACCAAAACATCGTGTTTTCTCGTAGCGCCTTTCTCAATATGCCCATTTAACAAGCAGACAGGTTGTGCGATTACATCTAATCGCGTGTTTCTGCCCGTGGAAAAAATACCGCAAACGTGTAATACTGAATAAAATATTACTATTTGAAATACTGAATAAAGAATAAATTATTAACACTGAATAAAACATTACTATTCGACTGTTATTATATTTACTATTTATTCAAACAATTTTTTTCATTATCGCGTCACACAAGTATTACATAATGAAATTTGATATGAAGTCAAATCGAAATCGATAATCAAGAACTTGTATGTGCAAGCAAAGCGATGCTTTCCGATCGTATAATTAGCAGCTATCAGTTTTCGGTAGTTACGAATTTTAATAGGGTTGCGATATCTCAGTATCGAATGCGATTATTATTAATTACATGCAAGTATCATTTTAAACCCTCTAAATACTAATAGTTAATACTACACGATAAATATAAATTCTATATACATATAACGTAAATTTTGTGTAAAAATGTTTATAGTGTGTATCCTTTTTAACAATATTAATTAATTTCTTAAGAATTTTTCTGAATTTTATTTCTTAAAGATAAATATGTTTTATTTAAATATATATCACATTGTACTATTATGTATCTGGAGAAGATATTTTTAATTATCCTTTCCACCTCTGTGATATATCTTGTACGACATGATATACAATTTTCAGGAACGTAACATTTTATCATGATATCCTTTTAATATGGAGATAAATTGAGTGCGTGACGTGAGGGAATAAGGATTCGAGACCGGGGATAAGGGGAATCGATTTCCTAGCAGCTGCGATTCGTATTCCACTCTTAGTTTGCTAGACGATGTTATACGATGCTCATCAGTGTCGCGTGCAAGCAACTATTCATGTGTTAGTCGGCTACTGACATCGAGTTACACGCGAGGCCGACGCCCTTCTCAAAAGGTTAAAAGTAAGAAACGCTATTAAGATAAAGATTACCGCAATCTCTTATCCTGACTAAGATTCTTTTCAGCACTACTTGTTGCACTCGATTAATTATAAGTTAGCACATAGACGATCTGTGTCTCCGAATTACACCGAATCGATCGATATGTCTGTATAGTCACCGAGAATAAGTGGACCATATGGTGTGATATCTGAACTTGAACTCGTTTATCTTCATAAATGACCTTTATTACTTTTTGTAGTATCTGGGCGATAAATGGTTCGACTGAACGCGTAGAAAATTGGTTACAGACTAAAAATAAATCGATTGCTGCTTATCACGCGAATGGAACGTTTCGTACATCTCGATGTTAGATGGAACAGTTTTTTTGGGATATATTTATAGGGATATAGAGGGATATATAACCCTCTGTCACAGAGGGAGTAATTAGTCTAATGAAAGCGACAAAATTGACATTCGACACTACGGCAATTCGTCTACCCACATACCCATCATTAAGCTCCTTAAAACATTTTCATTTAATCTCAACAGAAATTTCATTATAGATAAAGAGTTAGAAAGCGATATATCACTCGGAAAGCTCTTAATAAATCAAATATAAATCTCATGTAATTTATTAATTGATTTATATTAATTAAAATGGATTTTCTAACAAAAATTTAATTTAAATCAAGATAATCTCTATTTATACGCATCATACGGTTGAAATATCGGACTTGTTTCATAGAGATACTTTCACGCTATAGCGACGAAATAAAGACGACTTTCATAATTTTAACACACTGAATTGTGGACGTTTTAATAAACTCTTTCAGACGTCTGCGTTACCAAAAGAAACATTTTATTTCTAAATAATTTATTTTTCGAATGTCAGCTACAAACGTTTTTATAACTTTTACGTTGTACAGATCAGTATTTCAAAAGCGTTCTCTTTTTGATCCGAATTAAACACAGAACGGTACAATCTACGCAGTTCATGCCAGATGCGTGATAGATTGCCATACGATTGCAAAAGCCTGCAAAGCGACGGTGTATCATAATAGCGATCTATCACGCCGACACGATCTCGTGTGCCAAGCGCCGATATCGACGAGCGTTTGTACGAGAGCGGCTCTTAACCACCCTGTGTGCCTACACAGACGATCGCAAGCACCTGTAACGTCTCATCTCCGACGAAGAACGAGGACGACTACGGGCGGTAAAGGGAGCCGGAGGAACTCTCGCATTAAAAAGCACCGCGTTGATGATTTTGACAGGCAGATCGCGAGGAACCTTCTGCGTTATCTGCTCCCACAAACGTGCTCAGAATGTGTTCGATCAATAAACTCGGTTGGCCTCCACCGAGCTCTCTCTCTCTCTCTCTCTCTCTCTCTCTCTCT